ATGGGGCGGCAGGGGCGCAGCCTGACAAGTACTCGTAGACGTTGTCGCAGCGAGAGCTGCAAGGTCGACGTCGGCGACTCCACTGTCCAGCACCAGATTGCTTGGCTTGATCTTCTTGGCACCGTCACAGCATAGGAACTCGACAAGCACACGTTCATAATCCCCTCCACATACTTTCCCAGGCATGCCATTGAGTGCGCTGGCTTTGAGGCCCGTTGCAACGACAATCGCTCCAACCGCAAAGCCATGATGAAACTCGTGGGCGACATCACGGAGAGAACTCAGAAGACATTCGGCACACATCCTGTCTGATAGAAGCGATTTTCCCACCTACTTCATCTCTGATATTCTGACATTCGGCAGCCAGGCGATTCCGCACTGATTCACCAAGGCGTGTGACAGAATAATCAAGGGACGACTTCAACTCTACACAAGCCTGCTCCAGCTTCGGACCAATGGCGGGCCGCTGTCCACCACTGGGTTTTTCAAGCTTTGCAGGCAGCCGACAATCCAGGGAGTGATTGACGCACTTCCCCAAAGACCGTGCCAACCCTCGGATTCGGGCGTCCATTCCGGCGGAATGCTCGTGAATGAGAGCTTCCAGTCTTCCGATATTGGCCGTCGCCTCCTGTATGAGCTGAGAATCTCCTAGCCTGTCATCCACACTGGTTTGTCGAGGGATTTGCCATTGTAAGCGCTCCAGCTGCCCCAGTAATAACGCAATCGTCGAGTTCTGGTCCTCGATGAGCCTCTGCGCACCCGTATCGGGCAAGCACAAAACAGCAGCACGGCCACGCGGACTACCTTGGAAACGAGGGGCAGTGATACCCAATGCAGAATACTGAATCAAATGAGCGGCATCAAATTTGGAGTGCACCGAATTACTATGTGAATTGGCAGCACAGGCATCATTAGGAAACGAACGAACTGCATGCGATGCAAATTCCTCCTTCGCCAACTCATCAAGTATGCTAATGACCACGGAAACCGACGGAACAAAATATTGATTCTGACTTGAGTTTCGAGCGCTCGCGGCGCCTGCCGCAGAATGTAAAAATAATCGAGTGAACTGTGAATGCTTAGAGTAGCCAGCTGCCCTGTTCACCTGCACAGACAGCCCGAATAGAGGACGTGGGAGCCAACCTCGCGCCGCCAAGACCGCAGCTCCAGTAGAAGGGTATTCCTGGACAGTCAGGCCAGAGATGCAGCAATGAATCGTAAGTTGGGCAGCCACGATCGCAATTCTTATAGGCAATGACAGAAAACCTGCACACAAACCTAGAAATATATGGAAAGCCCCAGATCAGCAGACATCAATGGCGACTGGTCCTCATCCTCCTCCTCCTCCTCCTCCTCCTCCTCCTCCTCCTCCTCGTCTTCCTCCTCCTCCTCCTCCTCCTCCTCCTCCTCGGGGCTCAGGACAGATGGCATCGGCGGTGCGGCGGTGCGGCGTGGCAAGTGCCGGCGAGAGAGCGCGCCCGTGGCGCCACGCCCAAAGGGGTGGGGCCCCTTTGGCCCTGCCCTGCCGGAAGCCACCCCGCCCTCCTTGCCTTCCGCCCCTCGGAAGCTACCCCCCGCCTTCCTTTTCGCGCTCTGGAAGCGACCCCCCCCCCTCCCTGTCCAGAGGGGGGGGGTAGCTTGGCTACCCCCCCCCCTCCACCTGAACCTCCCCCTGCCGGACGCCCAGCACCCCCTTCTTTCCCGCCCCTCGGAAGCCCCCCCCCCCTCCCCGGCTCAGCTACCCCCCCGCTTTGAACCTCCCCTGCCGGAAAGCCCCCTCCCTCTTCGGCTCAAGAGGGGGCCACATGCCCTACCCCGACCCGACCCTTTCTGAGGGGGGGGTGGGGTTCACTTCGTTCGGGAGCTCTCGAGCGAAGTGAACCCCACCCTCCCCCTCAGAAATCGTGGGGGGGTAGGGGTAGGGTTCGCATGTGGCCCCCTATCAAGGGCTAGAGGGGGGGGGGGCTTGGAAGCCCCCCCCCCTCTCTTGGCTAACGGAAGGAGCGCCGGAGACCAAAAGAGCGCCCCAACCAACAGAGCGCCGAAAGCCAAAGAGCCGCCGAAAACCGAAGGGATGCGAAAACCAGGTGTCGCCGACAACCAAAGAAACGACGAAAACCGAATGGGCACTGAAAACCAAAACGGCGCCGAAAACCAAAAGGCGCGCCGAACACCAAAAATGAGATGAGAACGAAAAAAAAACACCAAAAACGCGCCGACAACCAAAAAGGGGCCGGAAACCAAAGAAGCGCAGAAAACCAAAAGATCGCCGACAATCAAAGAGCGCCGAAGACCAGAAGGCAACGAACACCTAACGAACGTTACTGCGCCGAAAAACCAAAGGAGCGCCCAAAACCAAAGGGGCGCCGAAAACCACAAGGGCGCCGAGAGCCAAAGGAGCGCCGAAAACCGGCAGGGCGCCGAAAACCAAAGGTGCGCCGAAAACCAAGGGGGGGCGCAGAAAACCAAACGGAGGATGAAAACCAACAAAGCGCCGAACGCAAACAAATGCTCGAAAACGAAAGATGTGACAGACACCAAGAGGACACCGAAAACCACAAAGGCACCACAAACCAATGGAGCACTGAAAACCAAGTGGGCGCCGAACACCAAAATAGTGCCGAACACCCAAGGGGCGCCGAAAACCAGAAGGGCGACGAAAACCAAAAGAGCGCCGACAAGCAAAGAGCGCCGAAGACCAGAAGGCAACGAACACCTAACGAGCCGAAAACAAACAAACAAAAGCGCCGAAAACCAGTGGGGCGCCGAAAACCAAAAAGACGCCGAAAATCAAAAGAGCGTCGAAAACCAGAGCAGCGCCGAACAGCGCCGAAAACCAAAAAGCACCGAAACCCAAAAGGGCGCCAAAAACCAAAAAGGGTCGCCGAACTTGAAAAGGACGCCAGAAACCAAAGGGGCGCCGAAAACCAATAGAGAGCCGACAACCAAAAGGAAAGGTCGGCAAACACCAAAAGGGCATCGAAAACCAAAACACTATCGAAAACCAGAAAACTGCCGAAAACCAAAAGAGCACCGAAGACCAAAACTGCGCCGAAAAACCAAAGGAGCCCCCAAAACCAAAGGGGCGCCGAAAACCACAAGGGCGCCGAGAACCAAAGGAGCGCCGAAAACCGAAAGGGCGCCGAAAACCAAAGGAGCGCCGAAAACCAAGGGGGGGCGCAGAAAAACAAACGGAGGACGAAAACCAACAAAGCGCCGAACGCAAACAAATGCTCGGAAACGAAAGATGTGCCAGAGACCAAGAGGACACCGAAAACCACAAAAACACCAAAAACCAATGGAGGAGTGAAAACCAAGTGGGCGCCGAACACCAAAATAGTGCCGAACACCCAAAGGGCGCCGAAAACCAAAAGAATCGCCGAAAACCCGAGGGGCGCCGAAAACCAGAAGGGCGCCGAAAAACCGAAGTGGTGCCGATCAGCAAAAGCGCGCCGAAAACGAAAGGGGCGCCGAAAACAATAAGAGCTCCGAAGACGGACATGGCGCCGAATACTAAAAGTGCGCCGAAAACCAAGGGGGTGCTAAAAACTGCAGTAACACCGAAAACTCAAGGGGCGCCGAAAACCAAAAAGGCGCCGAAAACCAAAGGAGCGCCGAAAACCAAAGGAGCGCCGAAAGCCAAAATGGCGCGGAAAAACCAAAGACGCGCCGATAACCAGAAGGGCGTCGAAAAGCAAAGGGCGCCGAAAACAAAAGGCGCGCAGATAGCCGAAAGGCGCCCAACACCAAAGTGGCGCCGAAAACCAAAGAGCGCCGAAAACCAAAAAGGCGCCGAAAACTAAACGGGCGCGGAAACCCAAAAGGGCGCCGAAAACCAAGAGGCCGCCGAAAACCAATGGAGCGCCGGAACCCAAGAGATCCCGAAAAGCAACGATGAGCCGAAAACCAAAAATGGTGTGCAGAAAACCGAAAACGGAGTTGAAAACGGAAGGAGCGCCGACAACCACATGGGCGCCGAAAACCAAAGGAGCGCCGAAAACCAAAGGTGCGCCGAACACCAAGGAAGCGCCAAAGGCCCAAAACGCCGAAAACCAAAGAGGCGCCGAAAACCAAAGAGACATCGAAAACCACAAGCACGCCGCAAACCACCGGGGCGTCGAAAATCAAAGAAGAAAACTCCGCCGGCCCCCTTGTGGGGCCACCAGGCTGTAGGGCGAAGGTTCGCAATTTCCTGTACCAGTTGCAGCTTCCAGTTTCCACTGTTACAGTTCTGTTTCTTTGCAGCTTCAGGGTGCAAAAACACAAGGGATTCGCCACATTTCTGAAATTTGCTGGCACCCCTCACGCAGATCGGCGGGGTCAGGGTGCAAAAACATAAGGGATTTGCCACATTTCTGAAATTCGGCGGCACCCCTCACGCAGATCGGCAGGGTCAGGGTCCAAAAACATAAAGGATTTGCTACACTTCTGAAATTCGGCGGCACCACTCACGCAGATCCGTAGGGTCAGGGTCCAAAAACACACGGGATTTGCCATATTTCTGAAATCCGGCGGCACCCCTCACGCAGATCCGTAGGGTCAGGGTCGAAAAACAAACAAGTCCCGACACTGCTTCACGGCGGCACCCAGACCTGATGATTTAGCTTTTGCATCTCCCATTATCCGAGACAGGGGGCCGGCGGCATGGGGCGAAGCCCTTACGGATATCTTCGAGTCCCCCCTTCAGCCAGGGCCCTCCGGCTGGAAAAGCCAACAGAAGGAGGGGAAGGGGGGGTAGTTTCGGAAGACCCCCTTCGGGGGCCCCGGCTTACCCCGATCTCTGAAAAGGAGGGCGGGGGGATGGCTTCCAAGCCCCTCCCCCTTAGCCAGAGACCCCGCAGACACAGAATCCGATCAAAAAGGAAGGGAGGGGGAGAGTAGCTTCGGAAGCCCCCCCTCCCTTGGAAAGGGAAGCCCGGGCTGGCAGCGGCGGCAGCTGCAGCAACAGCAGGATCAGCGAGAGCAGCGGCAGTGGAGACAGTGGCGGTGGCATCAGCGGTGGCAGGACCAGTAGCACAGACAGTGGAAGCGGCAGTGCGGCAAAACCGCCCAAATCAGGGTCAGACTCACGTCATACAGTCAACCCCGACAGTAAGGATGCGCGATAAGGATGCAAGGACCTTGGACGCCCATTTCGAAGCGTTTCGAGCGGGGCGCGGCCAACGAAAGTGTCCAAGGATGGACCCAGGAGGCAAGGATGCAAGGGGGCACCCTTGGGAGGGATGCCGATCCTTACTGTGCGGGTCGACTGCAGTGGCCACGGCTTTCCCGACCAGGGCCAGGTAGCCGGCTCCTTCTGGTCGATGCTGCACAGACGGGGCCTCTGCTGCGCTCGTGGCAAGCGAGTCCCGCAACCCTACTGATTGCTCCAATTAAATTCGGCCGCGCCTTCTTCGGAGGCACGGCACAGCATCCGAACTGCCCCTGGGAGGGGGAGCGAGGGGGAAGGCAAGAGTTAGGTCGGGCCTGTCCCCCTGTATGGGGATTTAGGACGACAAGTAAAAAATACCCGATAAATGCTCAAAAGATGCCCAAAAATATTCAAAAAGTAGTCCCCAAACTATTTTTAACTATTTTTGAATATTCCCCCTGTAGAGGGACAGGCCCGACTTCAGGCAGGAGGGACGAGGAGGGACGGAGAGAGCTCCGTGGGGCCCTGCAGGCGCTGCCAGTCGGCGTGGGGGAGGGGAGGGAAGAGGAGGGAGGCGGGAGGCAGAAGGGAAGAGGAGTAAGGCAGGAGGGAAGGGGCCCTGGGACACACAAATAAACACACACAAATAAAAGGATTCCCCATATTTTCGCATATTTTCTGGGGAATCGACGATTAATTGTGTCTCTGTGTGTTTTTTCTCCTCCTGAAGGAGGGAAGGAGGGAAGGAGGGAGGCAGGAGGCAGGAGGCAAGAGGAGTAAGGCAGGAGGGAAGGAGGGAAGGCGGGAAGGAGGGGAGAGGAGTAAGGCAGGAGGCAGGAGGCAGGAGGGAAGGAGGGAAGAGGAGGGAAGAGGAGGGAGGCGGGAGGCAGGAGCGGAGGCAGCACGCGGAAAAGGGGGAGATGGCGCGCGGTGGCCTCACCCGGGCGGGGCGCCAGGGAGGGGGGGGGGCACAAAAGGACGGCAGGAGCGGAGGCACAAATGGGTACTGAGGGGGAGGAGGAGGATGGGGGAGGAGGAGGAGGAGGAGGAGGAGGAGGAGGATGAGGAGGAGGAGGACGAGAAGGAGAAGGACGAGGACGAAGACGACAACGACCACCACTCCCCGGACCTCTCCTGGGTTGCGTGCTGACCGGGATCCCCAAGCGAGTCCGGCCGTGGCGACGAGCGGGCGCGACCCGAAAAGGGGCCCGGAGGGGCCTCTGGGGCCCCTATTGGAGCCGATAGGGTTCCTCAAGGGGCCCTGTATGGTCCCTTTAGGGCCGTGTTCTTCACCTCCCATCTATAGGTCAATCGGGGAGACGTAAGACTAGGGTAGGGGGCCACTTGCGAACCCTACCCCTACCCCTCACGATTTCTGAGGGGGAGGGTGGGGTTCACATAATTCAGGAGCTCTCGAGCGAAGTGAACCCACCCTCCCCCTCAGAAATCGTGGGAGGTAGGGGTAGGGTTCGCAAGTGGCCCCCCCTATAGGGTACAGGGGACTCGGGTTGCCCTGACGGGGCCATCATGAAAATGACGAGACCCGATCTGAAACTTTGGCGCGAACTCCCGCTGCAGACACCCCACGAAAACCCGGACCGTCAAATCCCAGGACGCGCTCGCCAAAAAACGTCGGCAAACCCGAGTTCCAGCTTACTCGAGCCTTACGTTCTCCCGAGCCACCCCCCCAATTGCCATCCGCCCGAGACGAGGGATGGGCAATGGTTAGGGGAACAAAAAGTGACATAAACATAAAAACGCGGAGTTCCGGCGGCGCCTCCGGCGCCGGTCCAGCGCCGATCCGAGAAATCCGCGCGGACCTCCGAGTTTTTACGGTTGTGTCATTTTTCGTTTCCCCAGTGGCATCGGTACCATCTCCCCCCCCTGATGGAGGCGGAGGAGGAGGAGGAGGATGACGAGGAGGAGGAGGAGGAGGAGGAGGAGGAGGAGGAGGAGGAGGAGGAGAGGAGGAGGAGGGGGGAGGAGGAGGAGGAGGAGGAGGAGGAGGAGGAGGAGGAGGAGGAGGAGGAGGAGGAGGAGCACCCCCTGATGGAGGCGGGAGCACACACCGATGCCGCTGCTTGCCCGGGACTCTCTCCAGGCGCGCTCCGGCCAGGGCTTCGAGGCGAGGCCCGCCGTGGCGCCGAGGGGAGGGTGCAGCAGCAGCCCGACCACCATCAGGAACCTTCCACAAGAAACCCAACCCTCCTCCTCCTCCTCCTCCTCCTCCTCCTCCTCCTCCTCCTCCTCCTCCTCCTACTAGAAGAGCTCGACCACGAAGAACCCTCCACAGGAAACCCAACCCCGAGACCCCAGGACGTCCACTGATCTTTGGTGCGGGAACGTCGCGCTTTCCACAGCGAGCCATGGAAACCCAGGGAAACCCAGGGCACCCTGGAGGCAAGCATGGTGTTTCTTGGCATGGGTCCCCACTGTAGCAGCATCGGAGGAGGAGGAGGAGAACAGAGGAGGAGGATGAACAGGAGGAGGAAGAGGGGGATGAAGAGGAGGAGGAAGGGAAGGAAGAGGAGGAGGAGGAGGAAGAGGATGATGATGATGCTGATGATGATGCTGATGCTGATGCTGATACTGCTGCTGCTGCTGCTGCTGCTGCTGCTGATGATGATGATGATGATGATGATGATGATGATGATGATGATGGTGATGGTGATGGTGATGGTGATGTTGAGGAGGAGGAGGAGGAGGATGAGGAGGAGGAGGAGGAAGAGGACGAGAACGGAGAACGGAAGAGAACGGAAGACGAGGAGGAGGAGGAGGAGGGGGGTGAGGAGGAGGAGGAGGAGGAGGAGGAGGAGGAGGAGGAGGAGGAGGAGGAGGAGGAGGGGTAGCAGCATTGGTACCACTCCCTCCTCTGAGGGAGTGCGAAGAGCGGCGGGGGGCACGGCGACGCCCCCCCCGTGTGGTCGGAGCGCCTCCCTCTTCGAGGCGCATCTGTGGCACCTCTGGCTGTAGGTGAGAGGGCCGCCTCGCAGCGACGTGCACGAAGGGTAGCGACAAGCGGGGGGTGGCCGGCTTGGGGGGGAGGGAAGCGTTGGCGCCAGACTGGATGGGCATGGTGGGCTTTTCGGCCCTCCTCCAAGATGCATGTTGCAAGCTGCCAAGGGAATCCGTGCGCGCCACGACGGACCCGTGCCCCTTCCTCCTCCTCCTCCTCCTCCTCCTCCTCCTCCTCCTCCTCCGCCCTCCTCGCCCTCCTCCTCCTCCTCCTCCTCCTCCTCATCGCCCTCCTCCTCCTCCTCCTCCTCCTCCTCCTCCTCCTGCGCACAACCTGGCGAGCAGCAGGGTCTGTCGCTTGTCAGCCTGCTGAGACCACACGTGGTCTAGGGCGCACCTTACAACCGCCCTAGGCTACGCGTGTGCGGATAAAGACCGCATGCCTCCCCCGAACCCCTTCGGTCTGTATAGCTCCCGCGGCGGCCGCTGCTACAGCCACGACGGGCACCTTCCGCATAAAGCGGCAGGGGAACGCGCTGCGGCCTAAAGGAACAGACGGTCCAGAGAAAAAAAACGATAGACTTTACCATCGAAACGACATTCTCGCTTGTCAGCCAGCCTGGTGAGAACCTTCCGCCCCCACTCCGTCACCTGGGGAGGACAAAGAGCAGCAAAGCTCGTGACACGAGCGGCAACAAAACTAACACAGCGCAGACATCCAACCACGCGCGGACCATCTTGCAGCTGGATCTTGGCAAGAGCATGCACTCTGGACCCCTCTCCCAGCTTCTCTTGAGCAGCTAACGCACGACTAACCATGTCGCTGGGAAGGGGGGTCCTGTACAAGGATAAGTTGTGGCACAGGCGGTTTGCCTCGATTGTGACGCTTGGGATGACCACAATCCTCTAAGCCGTCACTGAGGCGCCCGATCCAAGTGCCCCACGCTTTGACAACTTTGGCTCGCGCCTGCAACTGTTCACGCGCACCACGATCAGCACGAATATACGCCGCAGCACTCTTGGCGGCAAGGTCCGCCTTCGCGTTGCCATGCCTATGTCGGGCCGTGGTGCGTCCAAGGTGGACATGCACCAGGGTCGCGCGGCCTGTGACCTAACAAATCTCGAATCTATCCCCCTAGTCATCCACCAGCCGCCAGAACTCCCTCCAGAGATGGGCGCGCGCGGCAACACAACCAGTGGTGGCCACACGTCCACGCTCATGAAAACCATCCACCACAAGGGCGGAAGCAGCGACGATGCGGACTGATGGTGTCGCCAACCGCAAAACGTGAATGACTGCAATGAGCTCCGCTGCGAAGGTGCACTGCAGCGGATCAAGCACGGGCCCAGAACAGAAGGCGGTCACCTGATTCTGATCGGGATGAAGCCCCACGCACCCCCAACCAGCACTCGCTAGACTCGGATGCTCTGCTACGAAAACCGATCCATCGGGATACACGTCGCCAGTGAAGCAGCCGGGGCCTCCAACCTCATGTCGGGCGCGTCGCCCTACAGGGGATGTCCGACGAACAATAAAACATGCCCCAACAATGCCCCCCAAAAGTCGAAAAACAAAAAAACTAATCCCCAGACTATTTTGGGAAGTTTTCTTTGACTATGTTTAAGGCACGCGCTATTTTTTCGTAGAAACTCCCCCTGTCGGGGGACAGGCCCGACTCAACTCCAACCCCCCAACGGGCCGCCCAAGCGGCGGCCTCTCGAGCACAGGAAACGGCACTAAACAGCGCTCAGTCAAAATGAAGGCAAGCGACGACTGCGTAGCTGCCTGAGCCGCGTTGGCTCTGAAGGCGGGGGCCCCTTCGAGGCCGCCCAGGCGCGCGCGCGAACGGCGCCTGTGCAGAAGCGCACCCCCAGCGGAGGGGCACAGCAGGCACGCGGGCGCGGCGTCGTAGCCTTCGGTCCACTGGCGCTCCTGAGGCCACTGGGCCCCCACAGTGGTGCTACGCAGGTGGCCTATCCGCTGGGCCGCGAGCATACTTTTGCTGCCGAGCGGGGCCTTCAGGGGGCTCAGGACCAAACCATTGTTCAGCTCGCGCTGATCGAGACGGTCGCAACTCCAGCATACTGCTAGCGCTCCACAGCACGAAACAGGAGCTCCTAGTTAGTGACGGGGCAGTAGATCGGAGGGACTGATGACGACCCCATCAGGCCAGATCCAAGGGGCAGCTGAGATAGCAGCGATGCCCACCCGCTTCAACGAGGCCCAAAGAGCACAGAAGGGGCCCTGATAGAGGACCAGGGTGCTCCAACCCAAACAGGTGCCCATGAGCCTGACGGAGACCAAAGTCCAGGGCATCCCTGGGAAGCCAGGCGCGCCACAGGGCGCGAAGGGGAGCCTTGACGGGGAGCCGAGTGGCCCTGAAGATAGGGTCCAAACGGGGCACAGGAGACAGGAGCAGAGCCAAAGTGCGTGACTTGCCATCCTGATCATGGCCTTGCAGCTTACCAACCGCGCCTCGAAGGACCTCCAGCCCCTTTCCATTCGTGGCCATGGCCGAAGCCCCAAACAGAACCGCGGCCTCCGAGGACGCCCGAGCCACGCGCCCGAGCACGCGACGACGAGGCATGGAGCCCGTCAGGAAACCCATCCGAAGCAAACCTCGGCTTCATATCAGAAACACGCCCACGGACAGCGCCACGGCCGGCGACCGACCCCGCACTGTAGTCAACTCCGAGGTTGCGCCCGGATTGAACAGGAATGGGCTGGACGCTCTTCGCCGTGCGAGCGATGGAGTTCCTCCACGCCGACGTGTTCCCAAGAACTCTGGACTTGTCCAGCGCGATGCGCAGGTCGGCCCTGCTCAAGCACTGGGCGAGCAGCGTACCTGCCGCTGAAATGCCGCCGACGACTCGCGACTCCGCGCCCCAGCGCATGAAGCGAAAGTCGTCTACGTTGACCGACAACTGCGTTGCGGGCCGCGCTGCCTGCGCAGCATCCATTGGGCCTAGCAGAACGAGTTGAAACATGCACGGTGCAAAAATACACCATGGGATAATCGCTTGCTCAACCTGCAAGTGGCTGCCGACCTCGCCCCCGACATCGAGGGCCCTGGGGGCCCGATAAATCTGAAGCAGTGAGTATAATTGCCACATCGGGGACGAGGTTGCCGCCGCAGCGGCGATCAAGTGATGGCGCTGGACCAGCTCGAAAGCCCCGTTAAGGTCTAACAGAAGGGTAGCACACGACCTGGCCTTGCACGTGGAATGCTCCGACCAGGCCGCCTGGATCCAGACGCATCTCCCCGGGGACTTCCCGTGAGTGGACCAGAAAAAGGACCGAAAGTTCGCCTGCTGCCAGGCTCGCGCCAGAGGGCGTCTCAAGCGACGCCGAACACGAACCAACGCATGCAAGAGGCCCAGGGGCCTGACCCCTCCCAGCCCTTTTGAGGATGAACGCAATCCGATTCCACATAACAGGCCACTCGCGCTTGTGCTCCACATGGGAACGATGTCACGCAGCGCCTCCAGGGCAGGGGGCAGCAACGACGGGCGACGCTGAATCTGATCAAACCCAGTGCCAATGGTCAACCTGGAACTCCCGATAGCTTTCACGAGCACGGCCACGGCGGGCCGCGGGGGAGGAGCCCCGAGCTCAGGCCACTGGAGAGGGGGGTGTTGCGCATCAACCGGCCACCACTTCTTGCCGCCCGGTCTCAAGGACTGCGATCGACTCGATCGAGGTGCATGGCCGAAAAGTCCCTTGATGAACAACGTCGGGCTGCCACGGGACTGGGAGGCTCGACAACTTGTACGAGGCAGACGTGCCCCCCATCGTGTGAGAGCCCACCCATTTTTCCATTCCTTCTCTTAGGCCTGAGCACAGACCGCGCGCGCCCTCTTGGCCTCGCTGTCGGCCATCTCAGTCAGGCAGGCGGCACTCAATGAAAGGGGGGGCGAACGTGCCTCAGCGTCGCCGACCGCGCGGCGTAGTCGGCCGTGTCGGGCAGCCGATGGAAACGAGAAAGACGGCCAGCAGCTGCGACAAGCTGTGACCTGAACGGGCCCGTCGGCACACGGCCGATGTCAACCAGCAACTTGCTCACCTTGCGCTACCAACAGGCGAGAGGAGATAACTTAGGGAACCTCGGAGGAGCTGGCTTGGAGGGGGTTTTCCACGGGACGCGGAGAGGTTCATCCCTGCCCATATAGCCAGCACACAGGCCCCCAGAAACCAGAAAGACATAGAGCCAATGTGCCTCAGCGGCCCTCAGAGAGGCACCCCACTCGTCCTGGGCCAGGAGGTCGGGGCCGCCGCGAACGTGTCCAACGTGCCCCCGCGGATCGGCCTGGGGGGGGGGGGGGGGGGCAAGACAACCAATGGGGATCTGGGTGGGGGACTTCTTAGGCACCTGCACATTCTTTACAAAGCGGCTCGACCGACGGAAAGACCAGCCTGACAGGAAGGTTCCCGGGGAAGACGGGAACATCGTGCAACGCTTCGGCCCTGGCCTGACCTGCAATGTGGCGCGAGACCGCGAACATGTCGATGCACCTCAATGCTGGCCTGCACGCGCCACGCTCAGGTGCGATCACTACTGCGCCCCTGGCATCAAGCCAGAACGTCTTCAGCAAGTCCTCAGCCGCGAAGTTCCAATCGCCACCGACGGTGAAGCGCAGCCCAGCGGTCTTCAACCTAGCACCCACTTTGGACAAGATGGACCAATTCTGCTCATTGACGCCGACCGGGTGAACGAGGTACAGGTTGACAATCACGAAGCCGCCTTTGATCATGCCACCGACATGATGCATGGACGCACGAGCAGGAACAATTTCCACGCATAAAAATGAGCAAGAGGTGCAAAACCGACCCTCTTGACCGCAGCCGCAACTAAGCCCCCCTGTGGATTGCCCAGCGCAAGAATCGCAGCGCACGTAGGAGGCAGACCAACCAGCCGTGCGCATCTTGGCCTCAAACGACGTGGAAGCCGTCTTCAGCAACCGAGACTCCTGCAACAGCAGCACATCACTGTACATGGACTGGGACAAATACGCATCCAAGCCCATCTGCCCATCGACATTGGCCGCGAGGATGGACCACTCCTTCTTGCGCTGTCGGCTAGGAGCACTGCTGAGCAACGGGCGCAGGGTCGAAGGGCGTGAGCTTACACGTCTTACTGGCAGCATCATTGAGACCACCGATGATAGTGTCACACTGCTTCCGTGCGAGCCCACGCACCGAGAGAAACTTATCCCAACCTTCATCAGTGGTGAAATGCTGCAACAAGCTCGGGGATGTACTGGCAACGTGCGCACCGCCCTCCGCCCCGTGCGACGCCCGCTCCGCCCGTCCCCAGCCGCCCCCCACCCCCCCCACTAGGGTCCAGCGTGACAGGCGCTGCCCCTTCCACGAAGGGGGAAGCGCGCGTGGGGGCAGCAGGGCGTTCACCTTCTCCAAAGATGGCGTGCGCTGCTGCCTCGGCAGAGAGGACAGGCTCAGGCTCAGGGGCGTCGACCATCTGGACCTCGTCCTCATCGTCGCTTGCCTCATCATCACTGGGTTCACCGCCAGCTAGCTGAAGAAGACCATCGCGCGTAGCCATGAGCGCGCGCAGCGACTCCGCCAGCTTCGGCGACAGGAACTCGAACTGCATGGGCAATGCAAAGCCAGGATCATCGGTACTGACCGAAGCGACAGCACCACCAGCACGAGGACGTCATTCAACAGGCAGCTGACTGACCGCCGCCCACGCCGCCGCCTTGATACCTGCAGCACGCTCTTGAGAGTGTAGCTGGTCGAGCTTGGTTCCGGCAGCCACCAACTCCAATAGTTTCCTATGAACATCCTTCTCGAGCTTGGTGGCCTCAGCCTCCGCCTGCACCAACTGACGCTTGAGCTCGTCATGAGCCCACTGACTAGGCTTCGCAACCGCCTTGGGGTCATCCGCTGCCAGCGCACGCTGCGCCGACACGCGAGCACGCTGAGTTGGGCCAAAGAAGAGACTTACTAGCCTCGGAGTCAGCACTGGGCATCTTAACAAAAAGTCGCCAACTGAGGCTCGTCGAGCAGCTTGAGCTTGGCCTTCGCCATCTTGGGAGGCCCGTTGGCCCAGCCCCCCTGTGGAGCACGGGCAGGAGGAGAAGCAGGAACCACAGGACGCTCAGCACCACACTTATAGCAGTGCGTTTCCCACGCGAAGTTCGTCTTGAAACCACATTTCTTCTTGGGACAGCACCAGACATCGCCGCGACCGAGACTGCCCATGGAACGAGAACGAGCGAGGAGCGCCACCGCGCATGAGGGATAACCTCAATACGGTGATGGGACTCCTGGAGATGAAGAACACCTGTAGGGCGACTAAATCCCTTTGCCAAAAACTCGCGTCCGCTTGGGCAATGCCTCCAGACTTGAGCCAAAATGGCTACGGATCCTCCTCCTCCTCCCTGTCCTCCTGCTCCTCCTCTCTCCTCCTCCTCCTCCTCCTCGCCCTCCTCGCCCTCCTTCTCCTCCTCCTCCTCCTCCTCCTCCTCGCCGTCCTCCTCCTCATCGCCCTCCTCCTCCTCCTCCTCCTCCCCCTCCTCCTCCTCCTCCTCCTCCTCCTTCTCCTCCTCCTCCTCCTCGACTCCTCCTCCTCCTCCTCGACCTCCTCCTCCTCCTCCTCCTCCTCTCTCTTCCTCCTCCTCTCTCTTCCTCCTCATCCTCCTCTCCTCCTCCTCCTCCTCCTCCTCCTCCTCCTCCTCCTCTCCTCCTCCTCCTCCTCCTCCTCCTCCTCCTCCTCTCCTCCCTCCTCCACCTCCGCTCCCCCTCCTCCTCCTCCTCCTCCTCCTCCTCCTCCTCCTCCTCTTTTTCCTCCTGCTCCTGCTCCTGCTCATGCTCCTGCTCCTGCTCCTGTTCCTCCTCATCATCATCGTCATCAGCAGCATCAATATCATCATCAGCAGTAGCAGCATCAGCATCAGCATCAGCAGCATCCTCCTCCGCAGCATCATCATCATCATCATCATCAGCATCACCATCCTCATAACCATCATCATCACCATCAGCATCAACATCAGCATCGTCATCATCTAATCAAAAGCAACAGCCTCATTACCAGCATCGCCATCACCATCATCATAATCATCGTCGTCATAATCATCGTCATCGTCATCATCATCATCATCATCATCATCATCATCATCATCATCATCATCATCATCATCATCATCATCATCATCATCAGCATCAGCATCATCATCATCATCATCATCATCATCATCATCATCATCAGCATCAGCATCAGCATCATCAGCATCGTCATCATCAGCATGGTCATCAAAAGCTCGGGGATCTTCTGACCCGTGTCAGTCCAAACCCGGGTCAGTCAGGCCTTGCAGACTCCTGCAAGATCCTGCACCCAAAACCGGGGTCAACGCGAAAGATCCTGCAGGATCCTGCGCCCAAACCCGGGTCAATGCGGCCCTGGCCCTGCCGGATCCTGCAAGATCGGGCGCTCTGGCTGACCCCCGTTTGCGTTGACCCCCGTCTCCTGAGCCCCGTCTAGAGAGGCACCATCAGGTCTGGGGAGATCTCATGGCCCACGCCATGAGATCCCCCCCCCCCTGGTCCTCACCCCCATCTTGGCCGCCCCCGACTGAAGCCTAGGATCCAGCGGGGCGCCACACTCGACGAGCGCGTTCGACTACTCGCAAAGTAACGGCTCGCAAATGGCCTGGATCCCCCGCCAGGGATCTGCGATAGATTACGTCAAAGCGGACAGGTTCTTTTTTCTGGACGTTTGCGAGTAGGCACATTGCGAGTGGTGGAACGCGCTCGGTTACAGAATCCAGTGGGGCGCCACACTCGGCGGCTCCAAAGGGTGTGGTTTGCAGAGGGTGCGGTTTGCAACTGGCACCCTTCGGGGATGGACAGACCCCCCTTTAGTAAAACGTGGTTTAGTGAAAACGACCTGAGGCCCAAACCTGGCGGGCGCGAGCCTGGATAATTACGGCCACGGTGCCCTCTCGAGAACCGAAATCGGACAATTCACTAATCGACGTGTCACTGTTGGGGGTTCTGTCCACTCCCGAACCCTGGGGGGCTCCCTGGAGGGCAGGCGGGGGCCTCGATGGAGCTCTCCGCCGCGCCCCGCAGAGGCCCGACGAGGACGGCGTCGGGCCCCCACGGGCCCCCACGGCGCTGATCGCAAACCACACCCCGGCGTAACCGCACCCCTTGGTCTTATGTCGGGCGTGTCCCCCTACAGGAGGATTTTCGACGAAAGATTAAAAATACCCTCAAAATGCCCCAAAAAGGTCAAAAAATACCCCCCAAATAGTCCCCTGACTATGTTTGAACTACTTTTTGGCTATTTTTTGGGTATTTTTCATTGTTCGTCGACAGTCCCCCTGCAGGGGGACAGGCCCGACTTAATCGTAGTCGCCGCCACACGGCCAGAGGCCGCCCTCGGCGGCCTGCCGGAGGGCGCGGCGGCGCGGCGCCGCCGCCGAGAGGAGGGGCCTCAGGAGCGCGCGCCCGCGGCTCCGTGCGGGGTCCTGGCCGCCGCGGCCAGCGAGCGCGAGGAGCGGCCCAGGCGCGGCGGCAGGGGCGACGGGGGCCTGCGGAGGGGGCCCAGGGGGAGGAGGAGGAGGAGGGTACTGAGGGTACTGATGACGCGGGGTGGGTCTACACCCCCTGGCACGCAGGCCAAAAACAGGAGGCTAGCCTATGCTATCCTCCTCATCCCAATCAGCCGGATCGACTTCCCGACGGCGCTGGTCACTCTCCCAAGCAACAAGCGCCTCTGGAGCAGCGAAACCGTGCAATCTAGCAATCTGTTGGGGTGACAAGGTTGGAAGCTCAGCGATCGCTGATGTCGGGAGTGGCACCTCCGTGGCCGCAACTGGCGCCTCTACAGCAACACTGTTTAGACCAACGTCCCCACCAGCACCACCCCCACCAGGCTCAAAGCCAAACAAAGGACCCCAAACAGCCTTCATATCATCTGTCGGCCCGAACGGAGTGCCCACAGTGGCCTTCCCCAGGTTGTGACCTGGGAACAAACCACGCTTTAAACGCGACCTCTGGGTCTTATACCCCGTATGGCCTGATCCCTTGCAGTTTGCTTGAAGGCCTCCCCGCGCACTCTGATGCGCCGAGGCCCCACAGCACTTACAAAAAATTAAATCGTCGAGAGCTTCCCCATCTTCAGCCTGGACCGTGGCCTGGACGATGGAGTGGTTTCTAAGCACCCAGGGAACCCCAGATACACGGAGGAAGTCCCTGGGTGCAGGATGAGGCGGAGGAGGCGGGGGCGGAGCGGGGGAGGACCCCGAAGCTCCCGCGGTGCCGGTGGATGTCCGCAGTGCCGGCGATGCCCTCCGAATCGGGCTGCTCCAAGGCACCGAAAGCAGCCTGGGCTCGGCCATGCCACATAGCACAGTCTCTCACAATCCGCTTGCAACCTGAAACGAACAAAGGCCACTGCTCTGGGATTCCCCACAGCAAGGCCCCTTTCTTAGCATATTTGTCGGCCATCCTGTTTCCACGAACAATCCACACGTCATGATCGGTTAAAGCGGCCGACTCTGATGGACGCCGGCCATCCTGGGTGGACGCCGGCGTGTCGCGCATCTGCTGGCAGACCCGCGGCGACTCTGATGTGTGGGCTTTCACTTTATGAACTTGGGCCTGACGGACAATGCCGGACCACCATTCCCTCCAGAGGTGCTGCCTGGGGTTGTCATGGCTCAAAGTTTCACCGGCGTCGGTGGCACACCCGACGGCCCCGAGGCAATCGCAGAATACCTCTAGGGGATTCTCGGGGTCCCACTCCGAAAAACGACTGAGCATGAGAAACGCGTAGTCCTCGCCATCTCTAGCTACTTGGTGCGGGGCGCTAGCTAGGGGTACCACCCCATACATGGCTCCTATGAGCTGCCCTGCCGGGTCTACCGCAACGACCGCCCATCCAGCCCTACTCAGGCCGGCGTGAGCGGTGTTAAAAGCGCTTCCATCGACGAAGACCTTCCCCGAAAATTTCCACCCAGGGAAAACCCCGACAAAGCGCAACCAGTTTTCCTCGGGAGCTTCGTCGCGGGGAAAACAACACCTGGGCGATGGCCACAGGCAGCGACAAAACAATTCACCAAATAATTCACTCAGATCCTGGACATAGCTGGCAGCTTGCTTGACGTGTTCAGGGCAATCTTCGCGCCGGACGGCGCTAAGCCTTGGACAATCATAAAATCGATGGTAGGAGCGCCTTCCCGTGGTCATGCAGCCTGGCTTGGGGCCAATGGCTGCCTCCCACCAGCGATCGAATGGCAGAACACATGTGGGCTGTCCATCCCGCCGAATAGGATCTGTTCAACACGGCGGACACGGGCGCCCAGGGAAGAGGCGAAACCCAGGCACCTTCCAGGCGCCTGAGCGCTGCAACATCGGACGCCGCCATGGCAGCGTCGCGGACGAAATTCATGAAGAATCCAAGTGAATACTGCGGGATATCAGAATCTCCCCAAAATGGGTCCCTATAAACTGTGGCCGCAGGCAGTGTCGCGCCGACCCTGGCCAAGGAAAGCAATGCAGCCTGGGCGGGATCCACCACCTGGGACCAAGGCCGGGCCCGACCAAGGATAGCCTGACCGGCCTCCAAACAAGTTTCCAAGGGCCCGCGCCCAGGGAGAGGGGAAACGACCGACAGGGTCCAGTGCTTTATAACCTCTACGGCGTGGACCACCCTTGGGTCCCTAGATGCACCTCTAGGCGTCGCTCGCAGCCGAAGGGCCGCCGACGTCCCAGGAGGCACGCGGCCCTCCGCACGAAGGGCCGCGACTCGTAGAGAATGCAATTTGTGATCGCCTAGGCCAGTGACAGCAGATCCCCAAACCGCCGTCGCCGTAGGAGAACCCCGCATTATCGTGCTGACACTGGCCCCGGCTTGTCTGAGCTGGACTACACGGGCGGAGACAGACTTGGCCTTAGCAAGCCTTTTATCTTGCTCCTGCACGCTGCGGCTGGCACCGCTGCTGGCGTCTGTCCCAAGACAGCGACCGGCATGCAATTTCTGAGCAGCATCTAGATCCCAGCGTTTCGCCAGGTCTGGATCAACATCGGGAGTGCTGGTCATATATCCAGTCTTATCCCAATTGACTTTGAGTTTCTTGTGTTCGAGGCCGGCCACTAAATCCATCATGGCCGATGGAAATTGCTCCACAATCTGCGCTCGACCACCGATCGCCTGAAGAAGAAAATCATCAACAAGGTTCTGGAACCTGACCTGCGGGTACTTCCGCTGGAGCTTTTTGATCAGTGTGTGCACTAGCAGCTTCGCTAATGCGAGCGCGTTGCTACAGCCTGCTGCTACCGTACCGTTGGCAACTAAAGGCTCTGACATAATCGCCTCCCGTACGGCTCTACGTGGGAGGCGATACCCAGCGCACAGACACTTCAGCAAACGAATGGGGAACCCCGTGAGCAGGGCCTCCTGGAAAAGATCTGCATGCGAGATGTGCTCATAATATTTGGATAAATCAAGCAGTCCGCTGACTGCAGTGAAACCCTTAAGCCTAGCAAATCGTTGCACTAAGTTGTGGACGTGGCCCGCGCGATCGCAGGTGAGGCCAGTCGAGCCCCAAAAAGCCGAGTTGTCCAATGAAAGCTCCCACCTGCGTGCAATAGGCTGCCGGAGCCTGGACCAGACCCTCCCCCAGATTGACGAGAGAACGATGGGGCGGACTCCCCCGGCAGGGGCAGGCTTCCCAAGGAAAATGACAAGGAGAGTCCACAGGTCCAATGCTTCGGGGTCCTGCTCCCACCTAAGCAAGATGTCAATGAATGCCTGCTTATACAGACCCGGCAACCATAAAATCTGCCTGGGATGCAATCGATCCCAACCTAATCCCGTGGAGGCGGGATAAGAAGTTAGCACTCTGTCTAAATCCTCGACGGTGATTTCTGGCAAATCTTCCCAAGGATCCAAGGCACTAACAAGACCGAGGCCTTCGGAGACATCGGCCCGCGGCTCCAAACCAGCCAAAACCGAGGAAGCCAAATCAGGGCCCCAGTCCCGTGGGTGCTGCTCACCGTCGCGTCTGGGATTATTCCAGAGAGGCTCCCACTCTTCTAGCAAAATGTCCACTGCCTGCTGCCCCACAGCCGGCATCGCAGGGACATCGTCGCCCCCTGGCACGGAGATCTGGGTGGCTGGGGTCGGTTCCCTAACGAAAGCGTAAGCAGCCTTCCCTCCCTTCTCCGCGGCAGCGGCCTGGGCCCATGCCCTCCAGGCAGCGCTCCTGGCCTGCCGATCCGCTGTCTGAAGGCCGTTGACGTGATCCCTCACCCCCTCCAGAAACTCCAACGCACCCCGCCCTCCACCCCGGAGCAGACAGATAAGGTCAGAGATGGAGGAGGAGGCCCACGGCAGAAGTGGACCTTCCAATGGCCAAGAGATACAAAAGCGGGCAACAGTTTTGCACTGGCGCTCGAGGGCGGCCAGTCTTGGACAGCCCTGCTCCCTAGCATTGTGTGCGAGGCAATGGAGGCGCATGCACGCTGACAGAAAAGACGTCCAAGTGCGAAACTCCAGGGACGATCCCTGGCGAATGTCTTGCTTCCAAGCCGTCTCCAACGGCTGGCGCGCTACTTGGAACCCCTTGCTTCTACCTTGCCAGCTCGACTGACACCACGGTTGGATGTCATGGAACTGTATAAGAAATGATTCAACGTGATCCAGCCAGGCCTCACAAGCAGGCCCCAACTCAGAAGGCAACTCTGTACCGATCTGCCACGGCCACTCCCATGGCTCCGATTCCACTGGGGCGGGCCGGACTGGCAGCGGTTTCTCCGTGGGGAACTTTTTCGGGTAGATCGCTCTAGGAAACTTGGCCTGCCTGTGCAAGCCTTGGAAACGAAAGGCAACAGGACAGTGCGTCCGCGAAGGCGCCGCCTCTACCATCGCCACCTCCGCGACGAAGGGGGCGATCACGTTGCTGCAGATGGCGAAATCCAGCTCCCGGCTTCCGCACGTGGGCTCCCCCGAGCAGAGGACTCGTCCTTGCGCCTTCTTCGACCATGAATCCAACTCTGGCGGAGTCAGGTTCCAATCGCCTGCTATCAGCCAAGGGCCCTGCAAAGACCCCACATACTGCATCAGGGACTCCAGGAAATCGAGGTTCTCCCCCATGAACCCGATGCTGGTGGTGAGGTACACCGATATCACGTAGAACGGGACGTTGAGGCCAATGTTCAACATCATAGCGGATACCCGATGCCCCGGAAAGGTCGCAGAAGTCATAGGCGAGCACGGTGAAGCCGTAATTCTCGACAAAATCGCGCATCCCCCGCTGGACTCTGTGAGTCCCGCTCCAGTGGACTCTGCCAGATGGAAGCTGTGGTAGAACCCCCTGTCCGATGACCATTTGTGAGCTTGGTTGACCTTGCCAGCCTCCTTGAGCCGATGCTCCTGTAGACAAAGTACATCTGGGAAACGCAACTCGGCATCATGCCGTGCCCACTCCAGCATTGATTGCGCCGATGCCCACGTGCTGGAGTTGAAAGACCAAACCGTGAAAGACGAAGTACAATCATTACCCACGCTTGGGTTTCTTGGTAACCGACTGGATTCCATCAAGAAGTCGCTTGACAGCTGATGGGTCGGAGACGTCCACGCCTGCTGTCTTGAGATGCTCTTGGAGGTCGGGATCTTGGGCGTCCAATCCCATGGTATCGTCTGCAGGCGCTCCGCCAGCAGATGCTGGCTGAGCGCCGTCTGCAGCAGCGGCCCCAGCAGAGGAGGAGGAGGAGGAGGAGGAGGAATAGACGAGGAAGAAAGGACTAAGGAATGCTAAATGACCGAGGGAAGAGAGGGGACGTGGGGGATACAAGGGGCAGGAGGAGGACGGAGGAAGGGGAGGAGGGGACGGAGGAGGAGGAGGAGAGGAGGAGGAGGAGGAAGGAGAGAGAGGGGAGGAGGGAGGAGGGAGGAGGAGGAGGAGGAGAGGAGGAGATGAGGAGGAGGAGAGAGAGAATAATGAGGAAGAAGAGGGAACAGAGAGAAGAAGAGAGAGGGAGACGGGGAGAGGAAGAAGGGAGGACGTAAGGAGAGGAGCGGGAGGAGGAGAGTCAAGTAGGAGAAGGAGAAGGAGGATGAGCAACATTAAGACCAACTTCGAAAGGACAGATTCCCCGATACATTCCTCAAGACTTCGACGCTGCACGTCTTTCCCCCCCCCCCCCCCCCACTTCCCATACCAAAGGGGGGCCCCAGGGACACACCAATAGATAGACTCAAGGCCCAAGGTTCCTTCCTGTTCTCTCGCATTTTCAAGGTATTCGTCTTCCCCCCCCACTTCCATAGTTCCCCATGTCTTCCTGGGAGTCGACGATCCATTGTGTCTGTGCGCGCGTGTGTGTGTGTGTGTGTGTATGTGTGTGCGTGTGTGCGTGTGTGCGTGGGTGCGTGGGTGCGTGTGCGTGCGTGCGTGCGTGCGTGCGCGTGTGTGTGTGTGTGTGGTGTGTGTGTGTGGTGTGTGTGCGTGCGTGCGTGCGTGCGTGCTGCGTGCGTGCGTGCGTGCGCGTGCGTGCTGCGTGCGTGCGTGCGTGCGCGTGCGTGCGTGCGTGCGTGCGTGCTTGCGTGCGTGCGTGCGTGTTCGTGTGTGTGTGGGTGCGTGCGTGCGTGCGTGCGTGCGTGCGTGCGTGCGTGCGTGCGTGCGTGCGCGTGCCGCGTGCGCGTGCCGCGTTGCCGTGCGTGCGTGCGTGCGTGCGTGCTTGCGTGCGGGTGTAGGTGTGGGTGTGGGTGTGGGTGTGGGGTGTGGGTGTGGGTGTGGGTGTGGGTGTGGTGTGGGTGTGGGTGTGGGTGTGGGTGTGGGTGTGGGTGTGGGTGTGGGTGCGTGCGTGCGTGCGTGTGCGTGCGTGCGTGCGTGCGCGTGTGTGTGTGTGTGTGTGTGTGTGTGTGTGTGTGTGCGTGCGTGCGTGCGTGCGTGCGTGCGTGCGTGCGTGTGTTTGTGCTTTTGCTTCCCCTACTGAACCTGCCCGTGCCGTGGCCGCCCAAGGTGCCGCCGTCGAGATCTGTGCCTCGCCGGGCCAGCTGGGTCGCGCGGCTGCGCTGCGAGACCTCGAGCAGGAGCTCCGGGCTGCGGAGGATGCGGATGAGCTCGTAGTACAGGTGGTACTCGGCCACGAGCTGCCCCTGAATGCGGGCGATGTAGATGCCGTTGCACAGGTCCAGCAGCAGCTGGGTGTCAGGGAGCTCCTCGTAGAGCACAAACTTCGAACGATCTTGGAAGTACAGGCGCAGGATTCGTCCTATGGTGTAGATGACCGTGGCGTAGATGCCGATAATTGTCAAAGACCCAGGTGAACCCAAGAGAGGCGGCGTCGTTTTCTCGTAATCCACCTCGAACATGGGCTTGGATCCGTCCACCCTGAGCGACCAATAGGGCAACTCGGCTACGGCTGATTGGTCATCGTTAGAGGGCCGCTCGAATTCGAGAGTCACGTCCTGCGGAGGCTGCAGCGTCTTGACCTGGGGAACTGCAGACTACACACCGGCATGTCCTCTCCTGGGCACCGAGCTGACGCACAGATCCGCCTGATCTGGGCAGAAGGGATCTGTACACCAAAAACTGTGCCCCGGCAAGCCTGGCCAGCTAGAGTGCCAGTGCATTGCCGTCACTTTTAGACGACCTCGCCGTAAGAGTCCTCCTGCATCAACGGGTAGAATGCCTGCGGCATGCTCACGTTGAACTGCGCGAAGGTATCCATGTAGCTGTCCAGGGACAGGATGATCTGTGCCGTCTGGTTGAATGTCTGCGTGTCCGAGCCAAAACCCCCTGATGAGGGGCAACGCTGGGGGAGACCAGCTCAGAGGGGGCAGTGAACCTCGACCTGACATCGGCGATGCATCGCCGATGGATCGGCGGTACAGTCAAAACGCATCTTAAGGACGCGTGGCAAGGACGCAAGACCCTTGGAGGCCGAAAGTGGGTTTTTGTTGAGGCGGCGGCGACCAGTGAAAACGGCAAAGGACGGGCCACAGAGGCAAGGACGCAAGGGTATCCTATAGATGAAGGCGCGCGTCCTTAACTGGGCGCGTTGACGGTAGGCCCCCGCAAGCGAAGCCGCACGAGCCTGGGCACGGTGGGCTGTCGGGCCCCTATGGGCGATGCACGGGCCAGTGGGGGGTCGACGCATCCGCCCCTGAGCTCATCCCCCCCGGCAGTCGGGGCGTTGACCTAGGGAACCCCAAATAAGGAACGAGGCCCCTATTTTTCATAAGTTGAACTTCGATTTCAGATCGAAAACCTAAGGACAACCTAGGGCAAGCTGCGAAACAATTTAGGAACACGGAGCCCCTCCCCAACGAAAAGGGTTCCTTCTTCAGCGCCCCGACTGTACAGCAGGAGCCCGACCACGAGAAACCTTCCACAAGAAACCTCTAACCCTGAGACCCCAGGACGTCGATGGATTTCTGGTGCGGGAAAGGCACGCCATCCATCGCAAGACCATGGAAGCACAGGAAGCCCGGGGCACCCTGAAGGCAAGCAGGGTGTTTTCTTGGCATGGGCTTCCACTGCAACGCTGCCCCTGACCTGACTCCCTGGCCAGCCAGCTGCCCTGAGGGTTGGTGGACAGCGACACCCCGTCCGTGCGGATGCTCAACTCGTAGAAGAACTGGAAATTGACCGTGGTGCCCGTTCTGCGGAGCAGGTCCTCCACCTCGGTGCAGCAGAAACACATGCGTAAACTCGAAGAAGGAAAAAACGCCATAATAATGAACTTTGAGCGCTCCGCGCGGATTTCTTGGATCCGCGCTGGGCCCCCCTGGCGGCGCCTCCGGCGCCGCCTCTAGCGCGCTCCGCGCGCCAGGGACGGGGGTCCAGCGCAGATCCAAGAAATCCGCGCGGAACGCCAACAGTTTATGTTCATAGCGATTTCTTCGTCTACATACCCAGGCCACGCTAACGGGCGATGTTGCTTCACGGTGATGCTGGGAACCAACTTGTAGGAAATCACGACCCACCCTTTCCTGCATCTCCGATCTGCAACTGCATCGCACGGAAACGACACAGCGAATGATAAGAAAACACGAGCCACGCGTTGCCACAATACCGAAACCTGCAGTGCGGGCGCGGCCGCAAGAAACCCTCGCAAGAAACCCAGCCCTGGAACCCTCAGGCGCGAGATTCAAGTGGGGGGAGCCCGGAGCACCCTGAATGCCGCAGCTCCTTCAACGGCCACGGGAAGCCCCCACGCAGCGCGCGGAGCGAAGAAAGCCTGGGTACCCTGACGAAAAACAAATGGCTTCTTGATCCGCGCCCCCACTGCACATCGCCGTTGCCTACATCACCGCTACCGTGTCTACGGTTCTGTAAACACTTGAAGGGGCCCTGGGGACACACAAACAGATGCACACAAACAACAGGATCCCCCATATTTCCCCGCATTTTCTGGGCTGCTGTCTTCCCCCCCCTTCCCACATTTTCCCAAATTTTCTGGAGAATCGACGATGAATTGTGTCTGTGCGTCTTTCTCCCTCCTGAATCACCGCTAGCGTGTCTACGGCTCTGCCGCAACAACTAAAGATACCACAGAAAGTGCTCCCAAAATGCCTGAAGAGAGTCAGAAAATGGCCCCCGGACTATTCTTTTTACTATTTCTGAATGCTCCTCCTGCAGAGGGACACGCCCGACTTAACGCCAGTTGGGCGCCCGAGTTATCCGAGGTAACTCGGGTCCAGGGTAACTCGGGCTTGGATTCCCGAAAAAGGAACCCGAGTTAGCCCTGACCCGAGTTACCCCTGATGATGTGGGGCTCTGGACGCCCGGATTATCCGGGGTACCTCGGGTCCGGGGTAAGTCGGGTTCGGATTCCCGAAAAACGAACCCGAGTTAGCCCTGACCCGAGTTACCCCTGATGATGTGGGGCTCTGGACGCCCGAGTTATCCGGGGTACCTCGGGTCCGGGGTAAGTCGGGTTCGGATTCCCGAAAAACGAACCCGAGTTAGCCCTGACCCGAATTACCCCTGATGATGTGGGGCTCTGGACGCCCGAGTTATCCGGGGTAACTCGGGTCCGGGGTAAGTCGGGCTCGGATTCCCGAAAAACGAACCCGAGTTAGCCCTGACCCGAGTTACCCCTGATGATGTGGGGCTCTGGACGCCCGAGTTATCCGGGGTAACTCGGGTCCGGGGTAAGTCGGGTTCGGATTCCCGAAAAACGAACCCGAATTAGCCCTGACCCGAGTTACCCCTGATGATGTGGGGCTCTGGACGCCCGAGTTATCCGGGGTACCTCGGGTCCGGGGTAAGTATCACCCGGGTGACTCCAACCTAAGACCCATGGAGGCCCAACCGGAAAGAAAAAAAAAATGGGGCGCGCCGAAGAACCCAGGGGGTCCGGTTTCCGCGGAGGAAAAAAAAAAACCCTGGCGATGGGGTTCGAGCACGGGGGTTACCCCCCCCTCAAATTCCGGAAGAGGAATGAACTCCCAGCCGCGGGGGTGCCCGCGCGAGGGGTCCCACCCCCCCAAGCGCAACCAGAGGAAGAAAAGCGTGAGAGCCGAGACTGTAAGTGCAATGCAACAACACCTTAATCGCGGTTGCACTAGGGATTTGTATTAGTACGGGAACAACTGAATTACAGCCGGTGAGGTTTGGGTTCGGGTTCGGGCTTATATATTGGGAACCCAGTATATTGGAAACGCAATATTTGGAAACTCAATATATTGGAAACCCACTATATTGGAAACCCAATATATTCGAAACCCAATATTAGAAACCCGATATATTGGAAACCCAAAATATTGGGAACCCAATATATTAGGAACCCAATACATTGGAAACCCAATATGTTGGAAACCTAATACATTGGAAACCCAATATATTTGAAACCCATTATATTGGAAACCCAGTATATTGGAAACCCAATATATTGGAATCCCGTGCTCTCTAGGAACAACTGCGCGATAGGACATGATAGTACCAGTTGTACTCAAGTACGAGTTGTACGGTAGTCGGAGGCGTTCAGGGGTTCCAACGGCAACGCGCGCGGGGAAGAAGGAAAGAAATCCATGCGCCGCCAGGGGTCCCGGGTTTAACGGGTCGCCGCGAGGGTTGACCCCCCGCGGAAAGAAGAAAAGAAATCCGGCCGGGGGGTTGGGGGGTTGAGGGATGAGTCACGGGGGCGATGGGTAAGTCGGGCTCGGATTCCCGAAAAAGGAACCCGAGTGAGCCCATGACCCGAGTTACCCCTGATGATGCGGGGCTCTGGACGCCCGAGTTATGGGGTAACTCGGGTCCGGGGTAAGTCGGGCTCGGATTCCCGAAACGAACCGAGTAGCCCTGACCGAGTTACCAGATGAGTGGGGCTCTGGAGCCTAGTTATCCCGGGGAACGCGGTCCGGGGTATGGTCGGCTCGGATCCCGGAAAAGGAACCCGAGTTAGCCCTGACCCGAGTTACCCTGATGATTCGGGGCTCTGGACGCCCGAGTTATCCGGGGTAACTCGGGTCCGGGGTAACTCGGGTTTGGATTCCCGAAAAAGGAACCCGAGTTAGCCCTGACCCGAGTTACCCCTGATGATGTGGGGCTCTGGACGCCCGAATTATCCGGGGTAACTCGGGTCCGGGGTAAGTCGGGTTCGGATTTTCGAAAAACGAACCCGAGTTAGCCCTGACCCGAGTTACCCCTGATGTGTGGGGCTCTGGACGCCCGAGTTATCCGGGGGACTCGGATCCGGGGAACTCGGGCTCGGATTCCGAAAAAAGAACCCGCAGAGCCGTAGTTAGCCCTGACACGAGTTACCCTCGATGATGCGGGGGCTCTGACGCCGAGTTAGTCCGGGGTACATCGGGTCCGGGGAAGTCGGTCTCAGATCCCGAAAAAAAAAACGAACCCGAGGTTAGCCTGACCAGAGGTTACCCTGATGAGTGGGCTCTGGACGCCGAGTTATCCGGGGTGGGGGGTAACTCGGTCCGGGGTAACTCGGGCTTGGATTCCCGAAAAAGGAACCCGAGTTAGCCCTGACCCGAGTACCCCTGATGATGTGGGGCTCTGGACGCCCGAATTATCCGGGGTAACTCGGGTCCGGGGTAAGTCGGGTTCGGATTCCCGAAAAACGAACCCGAGTTAGCCCTGACCCGAGTTACCCCTGATGATGTGGGGCTCTGGACGCCCGAATTATCCTGGGTAACTCGGGCCCGGGGTAAGTCGGGCTCGGATTCCCGAAAAAGGAACCCGTGTTAGCCCTGACCCGAGTTACCCCTGATGATGTGGGGCTCTGGACGCCCGAATTATCCTGGGTAACTCGGGCCCGGGGTAAGTCGGGCTCGGATTCCCCGAAAAAACGAACCCGGAGTAGCCCGACCCGAGTTACCCCTGATGATGTGGGGCTTGACGCCCGAGTTATCCGGGGTAACGTCGGGTCTGGGGTAAGTTGGGTTCGGATTCCCCGAAGAAAAAACGAATCACCGAAGTTAGCCCTGACCCGAGTACCCCTGATGATGCGGGGCTCTGGACGCCCGAGTTATCCGGGGTACCTCGGGTCGGGGTTAAGTCGGGTTCGGATTCCCGAAAAAGGAACCCGAATTAGCCCTGACCCGAGTTACCCCTGATGATGTGGGGCTCTGGACGCCCGAGTTATGCGGGGTACCTCGGGTCCGGGGTAAGTCGGGTTCGGATTCCCGAAAAAGGAACCCGAGTTAGCCCTGACCCGAGTTACCCCTGATGATGTGGGGCTCTGGACGCCCGAGTTATCCGGGGTACCTCGGGTCCGGGGTAAGTCGGGCTCGGATTCCCGAAAAAGGAACCCGAGTTAGCCCTGACCCGAGTTACCCCTGATGACGCGGGGCTCTGGACGCCCGAGTTATCCAGGGTACCTCGGGTCCGGGGTAAGTCGGGCTCGGATTCCCGCCAAAAAGGAACCCGAGAGAGCCCTGACCCGAGTTACCCCTGATGATGCGGGGCTCTGGACGACAGAGTGATCCGGGGTACCTCGGGGCGGGGTAAGTCGCGGCTCGGAATTAACCGAAAAAGGAAACCTCGAGTTAGCCCGGACCCGAGTTACCCCTGATGATGCGGGCTTGGACGCCCGAGTTATCGGAGGTGCCGAGTGCGTCAGGGGTAAAGTCGGGCTTGGATTCCCGAAAAAGGAACCGAGTTAGCCCTGACCCGAGTTACCCTGATGATGCGGGGCCTCATGACGGGGCCAGAGTTACCGGGGTAACTCGGGTCCGGGGTAAGTCGGGTTCGGATTCCCGAAAAAGGAACCCGAGTTAGCCCTGACCCGAGTTACCCCTGATGATGCGGGGCTCTGAACGCCCGAGTTATCCGGGGTACCTCGGGTCCGGGGTAAGTCGGGCTCGGATTCCCGAAAAAGGAACCCGAGTTAGCCCTGACCCGAGTTACCCCTGATGATGCGGGGCTCTGGACGCCCGAGTTATCCGGGGTACCTCGGGTCCGGGGTAAGTCGGGCTCGGATTCCCGAAAACGGAACCCGAGTTAGCCCTGACCCGAGTTACCCCTGATGATGCGGGGCTCTGGACGCCCGAGTTATCCGTACCTCGGGTCCGGGGTAAGTGGGCTCGGATTCCCGAAAACGGAACCCGAGTTAGCCCTGACCCGAGTTACCCCTGATGATGCGGGGCTCTGGACGCCCGAGTTATCCGGGGTACCTCGGGTCCGGGGTAAGTCGGGCTCGGATTCCCGAAAAAGGAACCCGAGTTAGCCCTGACCCGAGTTACCCCTGATGATGCGGGGCTCTGGACGCCCGAGTTATCCGGGGTACCTCGGGTCCGGGGTAAGTCGGGCTCGGATTCCCGAAAAAGGAACCCGAGTTAGCCCTGACCCGAGTTACCCCTGATGATTCGGGGCTTGGACGCCCGAGTTATCCGGGGTAACTCGGGTCCGGGGTAACTCGGGGCTCGGATTCCCGAAAAAGGAACCCGAGTTAGCCCTGACCCGAGTTACCCCTGATGATTCGGGGCTCTGGACGCCCGAGTTATCCGGGGTAACTCGGGTCCGGGGTAAGTCGGGCTCGGATTCCCGAAAAAGGAACCCGAGTTAGCCCTGACCCGAGTTACCCCTGATGATGCGGGGCTCTGGCGCCCGAATTATCCGGGGTAACTCGGGTCCGGGGCAAGTCGGGTTCGGATTCCCGAAAAAGGAACCCGAGTTAGCCCTGACCCGAGTTACCCCTGATGATGCGGGGCTCTGGGCGCCCGAGTTATCCGGGGTACCTCGGGTCCGGGGCAAGTCGGGCTCGGATTCCCGAAAAAGGAACCCGAGTTAGCCCTGACCCGAGTTACCCCTGATGATGCGGGGCTCTGGGCGCCCGAGTTATCCGGGGTACCTCGGGTCCGGGGCAAGTCGGGCTCGGATTCCCGAAAAAGGAACCCGAGTTAGCCCTGACCCGAGTTACCCCTGATGATGCGGGGCTCTGGGCGCCCGAGTTATCCGGGGTACCTCGGGTCCGGGGCAAGTCGGGCTCGGATTCCCGAAAAAGGAACCCGAGTTAGCCCTGACCCGAGCTACCCCTGATGATGCGGGGCTCTGGGGCCCGAGTTATCCGGGGTACCTCGGGTCCGGGGCAAGTCGGGCTCGGATTCCCGAAAAAGGAACCCGAGTTAGCCCTGACCCGAGTTACCCCTGATGATGCGGGGCTCTGGGCGCCCGAGTTATCCGGGGTACCTCGGGTCCGGGGCAAGTCGGGCTCGGATTCCCGAAAAAGGAACCCGAGTTAGCCCTGACCCGAGCTACCCCTGATGATGCGGGGCTCTGAGCCAGCGTGCCCACGGCTCCGTGCACATCAGCTTCCCGAGCTCCGCGCGGGCTTCTGCCCTCGGAGCCGGCGCCGGGGCCCCCCCACCGCCCTGGCGCCGCCGAGGGGCCCGAGCGCCGGCCAGAGAGAGATCCGACTGGAGCTCGGTCGGGCGTGCCTGAAGGGGCCCTGGGGCACGCACACAGACTCGAGCATCAGGTCGGGCCTGTCCCCCTATATAGGGGGATTTTAGGCGAAGAGCAAGAAGTACGCAAACTCTGCTCCAAGGATGTCCACAAACACTCAAAAATAGTCCCCGGACTATCTTGTTTGACTATGTTTGAGTATTCCCTCTGTAGAGGGACAGGCCCGACTTAACACAAATAACAGGACTCCCATATTTCCCCAATGTTTTCTAGGTTTTTGCCTTCCCCCCCACGTCCCATATCTTCCCATAAGTTCTGGGGAATCGACGATTCATCGTGTCTGTGTGTTTTCCCTCCTGAGTGTCCTCCTACAGGCGAATTTGAACGAAAACTAAAGCATTGCCAAACAATGCCCCCAAATATTCAAAACATAATCGAAACATCATCCCCAGACTATTTTTTGGGACTATGTTTGAATATTCCTCCTGTAGAGGGACACGCCTGACTCAAGACTGATGCCCTCCGACCAACTTACATTTTACAATGCGGGCGCGGCCGCAAGAAGAGAAGCCCTCGCAAGAAGCGCAACCCTGGAAACCCACGCGCGAAGTTCAACGCCCCTCTAACGAGGACTCCACAAACAGGTACTTTGAGCAGAGACCCGGTGAACCAAGTCCTCCCCGATGTGGGCAACATTACAATGCCAGAAAGAGGCCCTCAAGCGGCAACTTTCGGCAATTGTCCAGAGGTACCCGTTCATGAGTACCCGATACGGTGCCGCTGAGAGGTACACCTGAGGGGAAACCCGGAGCACCCTGAACGCAGCAGCTTCTTCAACGGCCGCGCGAAGTCGCCGCGCAGCGCGCGGGGCGATGAAACCCGGAGTTCCCTGACGAAACACAGATGGCTTCTTGATGCGCGCCCCCACTGTGTGCGGTGTTTGGTTCCCTGGCCTCTGTGCGGAAGCTCCGAGACATCGTCCAGTCCGTGTCCGACCCCGAGGGGAAGGTCACGTTCACGACGCCCCGAGACGAGGAGACGGGGTGCAGCCCCGTCTTCAGCGCCTCCTGGTGCGCCTCGTAGATCCGCCGTCGTGCGTTCGGCGCGCCGCGGCGCGTGGGATGGTGGTCAGTTGCCTGGTAGAGTCGGCGGCGAGCTCAGGGGGAAAGGCAGAAGGGGGCGGGCCCTGGAAGCAGCATGCTCAGAAGGCCTCTGGCCATCCGACCAGCTTTCTGACCCTTCTCCGAGGCCAGATGGCTTCTCGGAAGGCCTGAGGACTCCTGAGATGCCCCGCCGCCTTCTGAGAAGGCCTGCCCCCTCTCACTTCCCCCCTGGGCCAGCCGGCGATAGAGGAAACGTAAGGGCAGACCCCCCTCGTGGCAAGCGCCGTCCGAACTGCCCAAAGCTCCTCCAAGAAGCCGCGGAGATGTCCGAGGGGTCATCCCTATATACGGCCCAACGACCTCCCAGAGGCTCCAAACATGTTCCCCAAGAGGCTCCGAAGCCCTGCGCAGCCCCCAGGATGCGCGCAAAAAGACATCTGGCGGGGCCCCAAGAGGCCCTCTGGCATGAAGAGCCATAGTGCAACATGGTTTTCCTCAAACAATGCTTGAACATAGAACATCTCCTCTAACGAACTGGGCTGGTCTGTCGGTCCTGGCAGCTTTGTTGCCTCCGTCGCCGCCCCGTCGCCGCCGCCCGTCGTCTGGGCTTGCCTGTCGGTCGCAACACTTGTTGCGGCCGTCGCCGCCCCATCGCCGCCCATCGTCTGAGCTGGTCTGTCGATCGTCGCGCTTATTGCCGCCGCCGCCGCCCCGTCGCCGCCTCGTCGCTGCCCGTCGTCTGGGCCTGTCTGTCGGTCGCCGCATTTGATGCCGCCGCCGCCGCCCCGTCGCCGCCCAACATTGATTGATCAACATATCTTGCACAACATCGGATGCACGACATAGATTTCGCCACAAATATTGCACCGCATAGATTGCGCACCACATAGATCGTACAAAATAGATTGCACCACGCTAGTTGCACCGCTTAGATTATTGCACCACATAGATTGCACTACATATATTACACAACATATGTTGCGCACTATATATTGCACCACCTACATTGCACTACATATATATATATATATATGTATAGATTGCTCGTCGTATAGACTGCAAAACATACAGTGTACTTCATAGACCGCGCCACAATATTGCACAACGTACATTGCGCAGCCTAGGTTGCACCACACAGATTGCTCCACATATATTGCAGCATCTAGTATACACACCATAATTTGCACAACCTCTATTGCACACAATGTATTGCACCACATTAACTGCTTCACCTAGATTGCACCATATAGTTCGCACCACATCGAGTTCACCACACTATTGCACAATATAGGCTGTATCACACATATCGTACAACATAGATTGCTCCACCTGGATTGCACAACATATGCTGCACCTCAGAGATCGCAGTACAACGTTGCACACCATATATTGCACAACCTGGATTGCACCACAGGTATTGCGTCACATAGATTGCACAACATGTATTGCACCACGCACCACATGTATTGCGTCGTATAGATTGCACAGCATTGATTGCTGCACACAGGTTGCGAGACACTGTTCAAACCTCACACATTGCACAACTTGTACAAAGTAGACTGCAGCACATACATTGTGCCTCATGGGCCGCACCACTTCTGCTGAACAGTATAGGTTGAACAACTTAGATTGTACTATAAATATACTGCACAACATAGACTGCTCCACATGGATTGCACAATCTCAATACCAATATATACATATATATATACACATATATACATATATATACACACATACATACAGATCTTGCCAGGAACACACTTTTTGTGATCCACGATGGCTAACATCTGCTTCTGAGCGCCGCAGCACTGGCGTCGAGTGCTACCTATGCGTGCTGAACGCCTCCCGATCCACCTCCTCTCGCCGGCCCTCCATCTGTGCCCTGTCCCGACGGTGCGCAATCCGCTTTTTCGCCGCCCAGTCTAGCTCTCGCCATCGCTCGGACGTCCATTCCCTGTGCTTTTTTCGGTTTTGTGCGTGGTTTTTTCGCCTAATGATCAAGGATGCTCCTCGATGGTCCTCGCCGAAGGAAAAATGCACACGTCCGAGCGATGCCAAGAGCTTGACCAACTCGAGCCTTCGCCGCGTCCGCGACTCGGCCATGCTTTCTGCCTCCGACACCTTGCGGCTGCGAGCCGCCTCGGTGACACTTCAGAGGAGACCCCGAGGGAGCCCGAGACGGCCTCGAGGCTGCCCGAGAACCCACCCCAGCGACGGCTCAAAACGACGACGACGACGACGACGACGACGACGACCACGACGACCCCTCGGTCTCCAAGGCGGTCCCATCATCATCATCATCATCATCATCATCATCATCATCATCATCATCATCATCATCATCATCATCATCATCACCACCACCACCACCACCACCACCACCATCATCATCATCATCATCATCATCATCATCATCATCATCATCATCATCATCATCATCATCATCAGCATCATGATCATCATCACCATCACCATCACCATCATCAGCAACAGCACCGTCGTCATCATCATTATCATCGTCATCGTCATCGTTATCAGCATCACCACCGCCACCATCACAATCACCATCACGATGGTCCTCCTCCTCCTCCTCGTCCTCCTCCTCGTTTTCCTCCTCCTCACCATCATAATAATCAGCAGTAGAAGCAGCATCATCATCAATCACCAATCACCAATCATCAATCATCATCATCATCATCAGCATCAGCATCATCATAGTGTCATCATCAGCATCATCATCATCAGCATCACCAATCATCAGCATCAGCATCAGTTTCATCATCATCACCTTCATCATCATCATCATCATCATCATCATCATCATCATCATCATCATCATCATCCGCATCATCATCGATCATCAGTCACCATCCTCAGCCTCATCATCATCATCAGCAGCATCATCAGCATCATCATCATCATCAAACATCATCAATCACCAACCATCATCCATCATCAGCGTCAGCATCATCACCGCCATCATCACCGCCGCCATCATCATCATCATCATCATCAGCATCATCATCATCATCATTATCATCATCATCATCATCATCATCATCATCATCATCATCATCATCATCATCATCATCATCATCATCATCATCATCATCATCATCATCATTATCAATCACCAGTCATCATCATCAATCATCAGCATCAGCATCATCACCACCAATCAGCATCAGCATCAGCATCATCATCATCAATCATCAATCATCGCCGAGGGCTCCAAGGCGGCCCCAAGGCCTGCCCAGCGGCCCCCAAGACGGCTTCTCCAGGCCTCTGCGGGGGGGAGCTCGACAGAACTGTCGGCGCCGACGACGGCGAGGCCCCCGACGGCGAGGCCCCCGAGGGGGCCCCGAGAGCCCCCCTTGGGAGGCTCCGAGCAGGCAGCGCTTCAGGCGGCCCCAAGACGGCCCGAGAGGGCTTCAAGACGGCCCCAATTACAATCTTGTGGATGCCACGGCAATGGACACACTAACAGTCCTATCATTGAATTTAAAACTGTGATTAAAATGTCGGAAAGATGTTCTAAACATGTTTAAAACATGTTTTTTAACATGTTCAAGACATGTTTAACACATGTTCTGGGCATCTGGAAATTATTTGGCAACATGCTTCCTCTCCAATGATCGTCCTCCACACACACAGTCAACATGCCGCCCCCGCCCATCTTGCTACACCCCTCAAACGGATCGTGCCCTGTATCGAGCTCCACCTTCGCCGCTGTGGGCCCGTTTGCGAGCCGCCCGCCCCCCCCCCCCGTTTCGTGCCCCAGAGGCAGCTCCACCTGCGGCTGCCGTCACCCTCGTCTTGTGCCCCCCAAACCTCCAACACGGAGCTCTACCTACGTCCGAAGTGCTCAAGACCTCAAGACGGCCCAAGAACGCCCCTAGACTGCCCTAAAGGCCCTCCTAGAGAGGCCAACAGGGCCCAGAAGGGCTCCCACGAGGGGTCGTCGTCTTCGTTGTCGTCGTCGCACTCGCCGTCGCCGTCGTCGTTGTTCCCCTTCAGGGTCGGCGGCACCAGCCGTAAGGCCTTCGCATTTCGGAGGCGACGACAAGTTGGTGGCGCGCACAAAAGGGGTAGGGGGAGGGGGGAAGGCTTCTTGGGAGGCTGCTTCTCAAAGGCGCCGGCCCTGCATGTATGGAATCTATAGAGAAGGCCCGCGCCTTTTAAGAAGCAAGGGTGCTTCTAAGAAGCCTTCCCCCCCTCCCGCTGCCCCCCTCTGCTCGTGGCCGGACAAGGGCGAGTAGCTCAGGGTCGGGCATGATACGCATCCGCCTGGGAGCCAAGCCGAAGGCATGGACCGGCGGGGCCACTCGGCACGTGTACTGGTTGCCCCCTGAGCGCTCCGCCCCTATCGTCGCCCCCGACCCCGGAGAGGCTCCAATGAACCCCCCAAGAAGCCTCCAAGATGCCCTCTGCAGAGAAACGAGCAAACGACATGAACATCCACTTGTCGTAGATCCCCCATCGTCGCCCCCGACCCCAGAGAGGCTCCAATGAACCCCCCAAGAAGCCTCCAAGATGCCCTCTGCAGAGAAACGAGCAAACGACATGAACATCCACTTGTCGTAGATCCCCGCGGATCGCTTGGATCTGCGCTGAACCCCCTCCCTGCTCCCTGGCGCGCGGAGTGCGCCTCGGGCGGCGCCGGAGGCGCCGCCAGGGGGTCCAAGTGCAGATCCAGGAAGTCCGCGCGGACCTCCTGAAGATTGTGCTTCTGCAGCAGTGTCTTACTCGACGCAAGAGGGAGGACAGAGGAGGGGGCAGGAGGAGGAAGGAGGAGAACACGGCTGGAGACAAGCGCACGTTTTCGGATTCGGCGTTTCGACAGTGGGCGCCAGGGGGGGGAGGGGTGGTGGTCTGGCTCCAGGCCTCTGCTTCATGCGACTGTTTATAACAATGTGTCCTGTGGTGGAGACCCCACCTGCTCGAAACAGGCGCCCAAAAACGGCCAAGATCCACTCCAGGAGGGGGGAGGGGGGGGGCGAGGGCCCGCGCCGATCGGCAAAACAAGGAACAAGGAAACGATCACAAGGCTGGAGACAAGGAGGGGGTGTTTCAGACGCGCGCCGATTCAGACACGGTGCCGAGCTGGATCGGGTATCAATCCCAACCTCCTTCCTGCTGCGCCGCTGCCCTGGGGCATGGTGGCATGGTTTGCCGCAGGCCGCTGGATGACTGTCGTCCGGTGGGTATCGCCATTGGCTATGTCGAGGGAGATGCTGAGTTTCGCGGCGTAGATCTTGCTGTGCACAAGCGTCGGGTTCATGGTCGAGAAGTACATGAGCGGGGCCACTATGAGAAGAACGAGGAGAGCGATGAGCAAGATTCCGCTGTAGAACTTCTCGAACCAGTCTCGGGGGTGCGTTGGAGTAACCCACGCCCGCACCAGCATGTCCCTCTTCACCCTGTACAGATTCTGCTGCGCATCCTCCAGCTTCATCCACATGAAAAAGTCCAGGGACGTCTTGGTGGCCGTCCAGTCCGTCAGCACCCGCAGCTCCTCCACGAACGGGATCGCGGTGTACGCCTTGAACATCAGATTGCTTACTATATCCGTGGTGTGCGTCAGGTTCAGGCCTCCTCGCACCATGTGGATGTCGTACTTTAACTGCAGCGACGTCAGCGACAGGTAAGCCATGTACACTAGGTAGAAGACCGCGTTGGCGATGCTGCTCTGCATTGAGGGGTTTGCGTTCCTGACATCCTGAGTGGAAGAAATGTGAAGGACCAACTTCATGAACATAAACTTTCGAAGGTTCGCGCGGCCTTCTTGGATCTGCGCTGGACCCCCCTCTTGGGCGCCCGAGTTATCCGGGGTAACTCGGGTTTGGATTCCCGAAAAACGAACCCGAGTTAACCTGACCCGAGTTAGCCCTGATGATTTGGGGTTCTGGACGCCCGAATTATTCGGGGTAACTCGGGCCCGGGGTAACTCAGGTTCGGACTCCCGAAAGACGAGCCCGAGTTAGGCGTGACCCGAGTTACCCCTGATGAGCTGGGGCTCTGGACGCCCGAATCATCCGGGGTAGCTCGGGCCCGGGGTAACACGAGTTCGGAATCCCGAAGGACGAACTCGAGTTAGCCTTGGAGGCCTGGAAATGGGCACCAACACCAACACAGGGGTTTGCCTCCACAGGGGAAAGATGATCCTAGATTTCAGTGTTGGTGACAATAGTTCGGTCACCTTGGAAGCCAGAAGATTACCACCATCACCGAGAGCGGGATTTTTTCCCTCGGTGGAGGCACACCGCCGAAATTGGTGTTGGTGTCAACCTCTAGGCCTGCGAAGTTAGCCCTGACCCGAGCTACCCCTCATGATTCGGGGCTCTGATCCTCTGCCTGGCGCGCGACGGGGGCGGCCGGCGGCGCCGCCAGAGGGGCCCAGCGTCGGTCCAAGAGATCTGCGCGGAGCTCCGCAAAGTCTCTGCCTGCGGCCAGGTGCAATAAAAAAACGGATGGGATCAAAAACTGTGCGATAAAAAGCACAAGTGCGGTAAAAACTGTGATAAAAGCGTGTGTGCTGAACTTGCCGTCGCTCGGGCGTCCATTTCCCGTGCATGTTTCGGTTTCGTGCGTGCTTTTTTTTTTTCCTCGATGGTCCAGGATGGTCCTCGTGGTTTCTCGCCGAGAAAAAATGCACACGTCCAAGCGATGCCAAGTGAAAACAAGCAAGTGCTTTTTATCACACTTGTCTGGAGTCGTGTATCACAGTTTTGAATAACATGTGTTCTTTACCACGACCCTGTATCACACTTGTCCCTTCGACGTCCTCGCGAGCCCACTTGTACATGTACGCCGCGTGCAGGGCCACCAGCTGGAGGAGCAGCAGCGCCTTCTGCAGCACCGGGATCAGCAGGCTCGCGTCCGCCCCCGCGCCGCCCCCCGCGCGGGGCGCGGGGTCGGGAGCGAGGCTGCGGTCGGCGTCCAGGTGGCGGGACGCCGCCCGGGAGGCCTCCGACGGGCGGCGGGCGGAGTCCGCCTTTAGAGGAAAGAGAACTATGCACATGCACCGATTCTGGCCAGGCCCATCCTGAGCCCAGGATCGGTGCATACGCCCTGCTACCGTGGCCAGGAAGGCATATGCACCGATCCTGGATCAAAAATGGGCCTTGCCAGGATCGGTGCATGTGCATAGTTCTCTTCGCCCGAGCCTTGGAGTGGAACGAGGCACTCAATGCGGTGGACCTCGGCGTCTCCGGGCAAGTCCCAGCCTTCTGCGGCAACTCATGGGAGCCTCCCATCGTAGCGTCTTGTTGGCTCGTGGGATGTCGACGCGGATCGACGCTGCCCTAAAAGGAGGCTCGTCGACGCTGAATCGGCGCTATCTCATCGACTGCCAGACGCTAGCCGACGCCAAAGCTCTCTGAAGACGGAACTGCGAGGGTATACGAGGCTCCCGTGATTTGCTACCGAACCGGCCTCCGCGTCCAAGGGCTTGTACCACCTGGGCGACGGAAACAAAACGGTCTTTCGCGAGGAGACACAGCGCTGTGGATACCATGACACTGGACACCCTCGCAATCCTATCACTGAATCAGAAGTGTGTTCGACGTGCTTGAAGCCTGTTCTAAACACGTGTGAAGCATGTATCTGTTTACACGTTTCATACCTTTATGCAGCATTTTTTGGGACAGCTGGAAATAATGTGGCAGCATGCTTCCTCTCCGCTGATCGCCCTCCACAAACAATTGCGATCTCTGGCCATCGCTCGGACGTCCATTCCCTGTGTTTTTTTCGGTTTCGTGCGTGGTTTTTGTTCGCCAAATGATCAAGGATGCTCCTCGATGGCCCTCGCCGAAGGAAAAATGCAGACGTCCGAGCGATGCCGAGACCCCTCCACAGGGGGAAGACGATCCTACAACCCTCGTCGAAATTGAACGCAAGTTTTTTCCACCCCCGTCGCCCCCAAATTTAAATGTTCATCGACAGGCGCATCGCGGCCGGCGGGGTCCGAAGAAGATCTCGAAGTCGCCGGCGTCGGCGTGAACATTGAAATTGGGGGTCGGGGGGCGCCGCCAGGTCGCGGCTAAAACGTGCGTTCAAGTTTGACGAGGGATGTAGATTTCGGTGTTGGTGGTGATCTTTCGGCCACCTTGGAAGCCAGAAGGTTGCCACCATCACCGAGATCGGGATCTTCTTCCTTCGGTGGAGGCACACCGCCGAAATTGGTGTGGGTGTCAATATCTAGGCCTGCGAGACTCTGCCTTTTGCCGTCGCTCACCTGGGCGACGATCACAAACGGGTCTTGTACGACAGGGCTGGACCTGAACGTTGCTTTTCGTGCAGTTTCCGTCTTGTTTTTCGTGCTGCTCTACCTGTTTTCCTGTACCTCCCTCCCAAAACCACCAAAAACAAGACACAGCCGAAGTCCAGCAAACCAGCGTTTAGGTCCAGCCCTGAGATGGCACAGCGACCCCACGCCGCTGCTTACGCGGGCCGCCAGCGTGGCACGCTGTATTGGAGAAGAAGGCGCCTACACGCGACCTTGCGCGGGAAGCTTAGGCGCGAATGTCGGCGCAGTTGACCCTGTGTTCTCCTGTCGCCCACCTGTGCTTCGAGTACCAGGTGTACTCCGCCCTGTTGAGCACGATCATGACGATGGTGACCACCACGGCGATGACCTGCCAGCGGTCGAAGACGCTGGACGTGACGGACTCGGCGAAGTTGCTACCGGACCCCTGCAGCTTGTTCCAGAGGAGGAGGACCATGAGGAGGAGCGCCATCGACAGCACGAAGCGCGGAATGTACAAGTCCTGAACAAGACACCGGAGCATACCGATACCTAGGCGGCGCGCCCAAGGGGGAATGGAGAAGGAGAAAGCCTTCTCAGAAGGCTCGGAAGTTCCCGGGACTTCTGAGAAATTTTCCGAGCCTTCCCCGAGGACAGAAAAAAACTTCTCAGAAGGCCGGAGGCCTTCTGTGACGAACTAACAACACACACCCATACCCATAGGGGGGTCGGAGAGGGCTATGGGTACGTGTTGTCGGATGGGGGTCCCCGCTCGAGCGGGAGTTTTCCCCAGGGTCCCACAGCCCGCACCCATACCCATAGCCAGTCCTCCTTCCAACGACCTCCCTATGGGTATGGGTGTGTGTTGTTCGTTCGTCATTCTGAGAAGTTCCGCCGCCTTCTGAGAAGGCCTCCTCCTCCTCATTTCCCCCCCTCGCTCGCCGCCGAGATGCCGCTGCTCCCCGGCCCTCCGGGGGCGCCTTCTGGCCAGGGCCTCGAGGCGACTCCAGCCGTCGCGGCGAGGGCCTCCCAAGAGGCCCAACACAGCATCGGAAACGAGGCACTCGCCATCGCTCGGACGTCCATTCCCCGTGTGTTTTTGTTCGGTTTCGCCCGTGGTTTTTATTCGTCAGATGATCAAGGATGCTCCTCGATGGCCCTCGCCGAGGGAAAAATGCACACGTCCGAGCGATGCCAGGCGGACTCCGGGGGCGCCTTCCGGCCAGGACCTCGAGGCGACTCCAGCCGTCGCGACGAGGGCCTCCCAAGAGGCCCCAACAAAATCGAAAAACGAGGCAAGGGCAGCAGCATCGGTGCCCCCGGGCACCCGCAGCTGGGGGGCAAACAAATCTACCTCGCTTTTGACCACCCTCGCTTCCAAGAGATGCCAAGCGATGCCAAACTACGGCCTGTACTGGTCAGGCCGCTTGATGCGGAGGCGCGTGGTATGACTTGGTTTTGCCAGGAAGCGAAAGCGGGGTAGGTAATTCACGCTCTGAGCGGCGGCGCGAAGACGGTCGCGCCTCGCACTTCCGCGGCCAGGGTCACAGCGGCTGCCCCTCCCCCCGGGTGGCGGCGCGGGGGCGCGAGGGCGCGAAGCGAACCGCGCGTCACGCACGCGTAGCGGAGCCGCTGCTCGAAATTTGCTGACCTACAGGGTATTTTTTAATTCTTTGGATTGTATGAAATGTCGGATTTTTAATACATGATTGAGTCATGAATGAATTTATGCATGAACGCATCGTTGCTTTTAATACCAACTCCCTGCATTTTTAATACATGATCCGCACGCGGAGCATGTATAAAAACGGAACTGTATGTAGGTACCCCTTCTTCCTCCCAAGACTTGTTGCCGCTGAAACCCCCTCCCTGGCGCGCGGAGAGCGCCAGAGGTGGCGCCAGAGGCGCCGCCAGGGGGCGTCCAGTGCGAATCCGAGAAATCCGCGCGGAGCACCGATAAATCATATTCAGTATGCTTCTTCGATTTAGGGTCAGGTCGGGCGTGTCCCCCTACAGGCGGATTTGGGCGAAACAAGAAAAATACTAAAAAAGCGCCCCAAAATAGCAAACAATTGTAAACAAAATAGTCCCCATCTTGTTATTTGACTATTTGTTAATATTCCCCGTAGAGGGACAGGCCCGACTTTTAGGGGCGAGACTGTCATGATAAGATTGGCTCAAAGCTCATCCCAAAATGTCCCAGAATACCTAGCGGCCTTCGTTTCCGGAGCTCGTGCGGAACGCCGGGAATCTAGGAAATCGCGGAAGTCCTGGAACGCATCAACAGCATCATCAGCACAACCACCACCACCGCCACCACCACCACCATCTTCATCATCATCATCATCATCAGCAGCATCAGCATCAGCATCAGCATCAGCATCAGCATCGTGATCATCATCATCATCATCATCATCATCATCATCAGCATCATCATCATCATCATCATCATCAGCATAAGCATCGTCATCGTCATCATCATCGTCATCAGCAGCATGAGCAGCAGCATCGGCATCAGCATCAGCATCAGCATCGTCATCATCATGATCATCATCATCATCATCATCATCATCATCATCATCATCATCATCATCATCATCGGTATCATCGTCATCATCATCATCACCATCACCATCACCATCACCATCACCATCACCATCACCATCACCATCATCATCATCATCATCATCATCATCATCATCATCATCATCATCATCATCGGCATCATCATCAGCAACATCAGTGTCATCATCACCAGCATCAGCATCATCATCAGCATCAGCAGCATCATCGCCATCATCATCATCATCATCATCATCATCATCATCATCTGCAGCAGCAGCAGCAGCAGCATCATCATCATCATCATCATCATGATCATCATCATCATCATCATCAGCATCATCATCAGCATCAGCAGCATCATCAGCATCATCAACATCATCATCAGCAGCAGCAGCATCAGCATCATCAGCATCAGCATCACCTCGTGCCCCTCCGAGGTTTCCCCCCCCCCCAGAAGTCCATGGAAGGCTTCCGTATCGCCGCCGTCCCGATCACCATGCTCCTGGCGGCCTCGAAGAGGCGGTGCGACAGGCGCACCGCCGCCCTGCCGGGCTCCTGAGCGGCCTCGGCGACGAGCTCCAGCGCCCAGTTCTCGTCGTCGGAGCCCTCCATCTCCTACTGCGGGCCGCACTGATCTGAAGGGGCCCTGGGACACACAAACAAACAGACACGAGTCCCAGGATCCCCGGTGTTTTTTCAATATTTTCTGGGTTTCGGCCTTCCGCCCCACTTCCCATATTTTCCATATGTTCCTGGGGATCGGCGATTGGTTGTGTCTGTATGTTTCCCCCTCCCCCCCCCCCCCTGATGATCTACACCCAGGAGGGGCCCCAGGAAACCTCCCAAGGGGCCCCCAGGAGGCCCCCGAGAGGCTCCCAGACGGCTTCCAAGAGGCCCCAAAACTGCCCCCCCGAGAGCGCTCCAAAGGGACCCCGAGAAGCATCATCGAGGGCTCTGTTCCACAGCCTAGACACGGTGGCGGGATGGGCCGACGGCCACAAGATCCGCCGCCCCCTGCTTGCAGGGGTGCACGGCGTGCTGGACGTTTCAGGTTTTGGTTTTGGTTCTTTTTCCAAAAGAACTTCCCAGTGGGCTCCGGCAGAACCCGCCGGCCACCCGGAATTTCCCCAAACGTGCTCAACGACCGGAAAAATCCTCCAAAAACGGCCGTTTCGCTCGGGACATCCTCAAAAAATCGCGAAGATGGCCCAAGATGGCCTCCAAGTCCGCCCGAGATGGTCCAAGACGGCCTCCAAACGGCCCAAGAGAGTCCAAGACGGCCCAAGACGGCCCAAGAGGCCCCCCAGAGGCCTCCCAGACGGCCCAAGAGGCCTCCAAGAGGTCCTCCAGGACAGTCCGAAGAGGCCAAAATCATTGATTTTCCTTGGTTTTTGAAGGATTTTGGCATTTGCGCCTTTTCGGCTCTCCGACGGCTCAAGACGGCCCAAGAAGCCCCCAAGATCGCCCAAGAGGCCCCCAAGAGAGCCCCCTGATGGCCCAAGTGGCCTCCAAGATGGCCCCTAGAGGGCCCCAAGACGGCCCAAGAGGCCTCCAACACGCCCAAGATGGCCTCCAAGACGCCCAAGATGGCCTCCAAGACGGCCCTGGAGCGCCCCAAGAGGGTCCCCCGTTGGCCCAGAAAGGCCCCCAAAACGGCTCCCGACGGCGTCAGACGTGCCAGGAACCCACCAAGATGGCCGAAGTTGGCTCGAAGCTGGCCCAAAAGGGCCCAAGAGGCCCCCAAGAGGGCCTCCAGGAAGGCCAAAAGATGCCAAAATCACTGATTTTCCCAAGGTTTTTGATGGATTTGGGCATTTCCTTTTTTCGGCCTTCCGACGGCCCGAGACGGCCCAAGAGCCCCCAAAGATCGCCGAAAGATCGCCCAAGAGGCCTCCAAGACGGCGACGATGACCATCAAGACGCCCACGTGTTCCCCGAAGGCTTTCCAAACCGATTCGGGGAACACATGGTCCGATGGCTTGGCAGGTCTGGCCTCAACGTTCGGCCACATAGGCGCTTCCACAAAGGCAGGGGGCGGCGGTGATTCGCCGTAGGCGTCTTCGATCCGCCGCCCCCTGTGGTCTTGCCACAGGGGTGCACGGCGTGCTGGATGTTTCAGGTTTTGGTTTTGGTTCTTTTTCTAAAAGAACTCCCCAGTGGGCTTCGGCCCGTCCCGCCGGCCACCCGCAAGTTTCCGAAAATCCATCTGTCAATGCCTTTGTTGCCCCAACTTGGCCCAAGATGGCCTCCAAGACGGCCAAGATGGCCCAAGATGGCCTCCAAGATGCCTCCAAGACGGCCAAAATGGCCTCCAAGACGGGTAAGATGGCTCCAAGATGCACCCAAGACGGCCCAAGATGGCCTCAAGATGGTCTAAGACGGCCCAAAAGGCCCGCAAAAGGCCTCCAAGACGGCCCAAGAGCCCTCCAAGACGCCCTCCAGGAAGGCCCGAATAGGTTAAAATCATTGATTTTCCTTAGGTTTTTCAAGGATTTTGGCATGTTCTTCTTTTCAGCTCTCCGACGGCCCCAGACGGCCCATGAGGTCCCCAACATCGCCCCAACAGCACCCAAGAGGCCTCCAAGATGGCCCCATGACGGCCCAAGAGGCCCCCAAGAAGGCCCAAGAGGGCCTCAAGACGGCCCAAGAGGCCTCCAAGACGCCCAAGATGGCCTCCAAGACGGCCAAGATGGTCCAAGATGGCCTCCAAGATGCCTCCAAGACGGCCAAAATGGCCTCCAAGACGGGTAAGATGGCTCCAAGATGCACCCAAGACGGCCCAAGATGGCCTCAAGATGGTCTAGACGGCCCAACAAGGCCCGCAAAAGGCCTCCAAGACGGCCCAAGAGCCCTCCAAGACGCCCTCCAGGAAGGCCCGAATAGGTTAAAATCATTGATTTTCCTTAGGTTTTTCAAGGATTTTGGCATGTTCTTCTTTTCAGCTCTCCGACGGCCCAAGACGGCCCAAGAGGTCCCCAACATCGCCCCAACAGCACCCAAGAGGCCTCCAAGATGGCCCCATGACGGCCCAAGAGGCCCCCAAAGATCGCCGAAAGATCGCCCAAGAGGCCTCCAAGACGGCCAAGATGACCTTCAAGACGCCCAGGTGTTCCCCGAAGGCTTTCCAAACCGATTCGGGGAACACGTGGTCCGATGGCTTGGCAGGTCTGGCCTCAACGTTCGGCCACATAGGCGCTTCCACAAAGGCAGGGGGCGGCGGTGATTCGCCGTAGGCGTCTTCGATCCGCCGCCCCCTGTGGTCTTGCCACAGGGGTGCACGGCGTGCTGGATGTTTCAGGTTTTGGTTTTGGTTCTTTTTCTAAAAGAACTCCCCAGTGGGCTTCGGCCCGTCCCGCCGGCCACCCGCAAGTTTCCGAAAATCCATCTGTCAATGCCTTTGTTGCCCCAACTTGGCCCAAGATGGCCTCCAAGACGGCCAAGATGGCCCAAGATGGCCTCCAATATGCTTCCAAGACGGCCAAGATGGCCTCCAAAACGGGTAAGATGGCTCCAAGATGCACCCAAGACGGCCCAAGATGGCCTCAAGATGGTCTAAGACGGCCCAAAAGGCCCGCAAAAGGCCTCCAAGACGGCCCAAGAGCCCTCCAAGACGCCCTCCAGGAAGGCCCGAATAGGTTAAAATCATTGATTTTCCTTAGGTTTTTCAAGGATTTTGGCATGTTCTTCTTTTCAGCTCTCCGACGGCCCCAGACGGCCCATGAGGTCCCCAACATCGCCCCAACAGCACCCAAGAGGCCTCCAAGATGGCCCCATGACGGCCCAAGAGGCCCCCAAGAAGGCCCCAAGAGGGCCTCAAGACGGCCCAAGAGGCCTCCAAGACGCCCAAGATGGCCTCCAAGACGGCCAAGATGGCCCAAGATGGCCTCCAAGAGGCCCCCAAGACGGCCCAAGAGGTCTCCAAGACGCTCAAGATAGCCTCCAAGACGGCCCAAGAGCCCTCCAAGACGTCCTCCAAGAAGGCCCGAAAGGGTCAGGATGGCCTCCAGACGGCCAAGATGACCTTCGAGATGCCCACGTGTTCCCCGAAGGCTTTCCAAACCGATTCGGGGAACACGTGGTCCGATAGCTTGGCAGGCCTCTGGCTACAACCTTCGGCCACATAGGCGCTTCCAAAAAGGCAGGGGGCGGCGGTGATTCGCCGTAGGCGTCTTCGATCCGCCGCCCCCTGTCGATCCACCGCAGGGGTGCCCGGCGTGCTGTATCCTCTCGCTTTTGGTTTTGGTTCTTTTTCCCAGAGGACTCGCCCTGGGGCTTCGGCCCGTCACGCCGGCCACCCGAAGGGCGCGTAATTCTCCCAAAAACTATCCCAAGACGGGTCAAGATGGCTTTCAAAACCGCCCTGATAGCCCAAGATGGCACCCAAGATGCCTCCAAGACTGCCAAGATGGCTTCCAAGACGGCTAAGATGGTCCCAAGATGCACCCAAGACGGCCCCAGATGGCCTCAAGATGTTCTTAGACGGCCCAAAAGGCCCAGAAGAGGCCTCCAAGATGGCCCAAGAGCGCTCCAAGACGTCCTCCAGGAGACCCGAAAGGGCAAAACACTTTGACTTTCCTCAGGTGTTTGAAGGATTTTAACATTTTCTTCTTATCAGCTCTCCAACGGCCCAACACGGCCCAAGAGGCCCCCAACATTGTCCCAAGAGCGCCCAAGAAGCCTCCAAGCCCCTCCCTCCTCTACTTTCATCGTCCTCTCCTCCTTCCTGGGGGAGGGGGAGGAGGAGGACGAGGAGGAGGAGGAGGAGGAGGAGGAGGAGGAGGACGAGGACGAGGAGGAGGAGGAGGAGGAGGAGGAGGAGGAGGAGGTGGAGGTGGAGGCGGAGGCGGAGGCGGGGGAGGAGGAGGCGGTTGAGGAGGAGGAGGAGGAGGAGGAGGAGGAGGAGGAGGAGGAGGAGGAGGTGGTGTTTTCTGTGGGGGTCCGTGCCTCCGACTCTTCCACGGACCCGGCGTCGCTCAGGGGCGTGCGGCCATCCTCGACCACGAGGCCTGCAGGGGGGGGCAATGCCAGCATCCACGACGACACGGCGCCGCAGGGAGCCCGACGGCGTTTCTGCTGCGGAAGATCAAGGCCTCAGAACAGAAATGGAGCAGCAGCACGCTGGCGGGCTCCCAGTGGCGGCAGGTCATTGATCAGGGTGAGGGGGGCAAACGTTTTCACACAGCTCCTGAGTGCGTGGCTGCAGTGGGGTTCTGCGGTGCGGACAATCGTCTCGTTGATCCCCCCTCACTGGTGCAAATGGTTTTTTCTCAATCAAAGGGTGCCCCTCGACGCTCGCACCCTGTTTTTTGACAAAGAAAGTCTTGGTAGTCAAACTGGGCCACTGCCCCCCCGGACTACATCAACAACAACGGCTCCCGTCTGAGACTTCCTCCAAATTTACTCTGGACCCCCCCCCTCCCGTCTGAGTTCCTCCCAATTTACTCAGGATCGGCGCTCCCGCTTAAGACTTCCTCACAACGTAGTCCGGGTCAAACTACTTTGTTGCTCCCCCGGACTACAACAACAACGGCTCCCGCCTGAGACTTCCTCCAACTTTACTCAGGACCCTTGCTCCCGCCTGAGACTTCCTCCCAATTAACTCAGGACCGGCGCTCCCGCCTGTGACTTCCTCGCAATTTAGTCAGGACCCCCCCTCCCGTCTGAGGCTTCCTCACAATTTACTCGAGAACGGCGCTCGCGCTTTAGATTTCCTTGCGCTTTAGTCTAGACCCCCGCTCCCGCCAGACATCCCCTTTTCAGGAATTGCGCTCTCGCCTGTGACTTTCTCGCAGTTTATTCAGAAATCGCGCTATCTACGCTCAGGCACCACGCTCGCGCCAAGGACGCCGTCACACTTTACTTAGGAATCGCGCTCTCCCCCCACTCAGGCATCCTGCTTGAATGTCCCACCCGCCCGACCCGCCCGTCAGAGGATCGCCCGCCCGTCGTGGGCTGCCGCCCGAGATTTCCTTGTGGAATGGCGCTTTCGCCTAGGACTTCTTGAACGTTCGCACTCTTACCTTCCTGCTCCTCCCTCCTCCAGGGCCGCCTCTCCCTTTTCCCTTTCGTTTCCCTGTTTAGGGGCTTCTCCAATCACGCGTGGCCAGGAAGAAATATAACCCCCCAAAAGGAGGTACGATCGAAGACGAACAGGGCGGGTATCCAAGGTTTGGGATATTCTAAGTGAATGACACGCGGGCCGGTAGGAGCGAACAATCTTGGAATGATTGTTGTTGTTGTTGTTGTTGTTGTTGTTGTTGTTGTTGTTGTTGTTGCTCTTGCCGCCGCCGCCACGCGACCCACCCGCGCCTCGACCCGTTGGCGATGCGACCCACCTTTGCCGCGACCCACCCCTGCGACCCCCTATCACTCCTGTCCGCACATGTGGATGGCCGGGTACTACGGACGATTGAAACACATGCATAAACATGAACTTTCGGGAGTTCGCGCGGATTTCCTGGATCGGCGCTGGGCCCCCTCCCTGGCGCGCTTCGCGCGCCAGAAGCGGCGCGAGAGGTGCCGCCAAGGGGGCCCAGCGCCGATCCAAGAAACCAGCGCGGAGCTTCGACAATTCATGTAGATGCAGTTTCTCCACCTTCGATAATTTTCTCGATTGCCCTCAGCACATGCGTGATAGCGCCAACGTGTGCTTGCTCACCGAAGCCCTTCAATACGACGCAGGCGGTGACAACGAGGGCTGGCACAGGCTGAGCGCGGGCGACGAACACACACTGGGATAAACTAGGTCACCTAACTTCACGCATCGCGCCCCGCGATGCGCGGTGATCTTCGCGCCCTCACGCCCCCGCGCGGCCGCCTTGGAGCAGCAGCTCTGGCCCAGGCCGGTCAATGCGACCCTGCCCCTGCAGGATCCTGCAAGGTCCGGCGCTCTGGCTGACCCCCGTTTGCATGGACCCCCGTCTCGTGAGCCCCGACTCGAGTTGTAAGGTTCGCTGCCCTGTGTTGTCTAGAGGCTAGCTCGCTCCCTAGAACGTCACCATACTATCTTCACAACCGTCATCATCGGCGTCCCTGTGACTGTCCGTGCATCGTGGGGAGCCCCGATCTGGGCGACCCAAAAGGGGGTCCAGCTGCAAGGGGGTGGTGCAATAAATTTGGGGCAATTGTATTGCAAATGTATAGCGCTGGAGAATTGGATTGCATTGATTAATGTATTGCAACCCCACAAATCTATTGCACCCCCTAAATGTCTTGCAACCCCACAAATCTATTGCACCAACTCTACTGAACCACCCCCTTGTCCCTTGTCGCTGGACCCCCTTTGGGGTCAACCCGACCCGAGGCCGTCGCCGTCTCCATCCTCCGGCCCGTGCGCCAGTCGGCCTGCGTCCCGCCGCGCTGCGCTGGCGGCCGACGAGGCGTCGCTGAGGGCTGGGCGGGGGCCCCCGTCGCTGGCAACGGACGCCATGCTCTCGCTGCAGAGGGTGCCGTCCTTCGGAGGGGGAAGAGCAGGGAGCGGGGAGGAGCGAGGAGGAGGAGGAGGAGGAGGAGGCGGAGGAGGAGGAGGAGGAGGAGGCGGAGGAGGAGGAGGTGGGGGAGCGGCGGGAGGAGGAGGAGGCGCGACGGAGGCGGAGGAGTAGGAAGGAGGAGGGGAGGAGGAGGAGGAAGAGGAGGAGGAGGAGGAGGAGGGCCCAAGATGCGCATCTTGGGTCCTCCCGAGCAGGAAAGCGCGCGCAAAGCTAAGCGGATCCAAGCTCTGGCACGGGAGTGGACGTCCGAGCGATGGCAAGCTCCCGGCGAGGCGCAGCAAGCTCCCCTGCGAGGCGAGAGAGCAGCCTCCCCCGGCTTTCGAGAGAGAAGGCTACTGCCCCCAACCCTCAACCCTCCTCCTCCTCCTCCTCCTCCTCCTCCTCCTCCTGACCGAGCGCTTCTGCACGCCCGCCTCTCCCTGCTCCTCCTCCGCCTCCTCTCCTTCCACTCCGTCCCCTCCGTCCAGGCTCCTCCTCCCCGCTACCTCCTCCTCCTCCTCCTCCTCCCTCCTCCTCCTCCTCCTCCTCCTCCTCAGCGCGCCTTCTCCTCCCCGCTCCTTCCCCGCTCCTCCTCCTCCTCCTCCTCCTCCTCCTCCCCTCCTCCTCCCCCTCCTATCGTCCTCGTCCCCTCCTCCTCCTCCTCCTCCTCCTCCTCCTCCTCCTCCTCCTCCTCCTCCTTCTCCTTTCTCCAAGATGGTCCAGCTTTCCTGGCGTTCGCCTCGCCGAGAACAGCGCGCACGTCCGAGCGATGCCAAGAGAGAGGGGGGGCAGACCTGCTCAGGAAGGCGGCGGGGCCTCTCAGAAGCCCTCGGGCCATCTCGGGGTAAAGTCGGGCACGGCCCTCTACAGGAGGAATACTCACAACTAGTCAAAACATAATCTGGGGACGATCTTTCTACTACTTTGGACCGTCGTGTTTGGGCATCTTTTGATACTATTTGTTTTTTCTTCCCAAATCCGCCTGTAGGGGGGCATGCCCGACATAGTCCTAGGGAGCAAAAAAACACCCTCATCATCCGCCACCGTGCCTGCAGCACGTTGAGGCGTGGAAGAATGCCAAGTGTTGTTTTTCTTCTTTTTGATGAGGGCGAAGATGGGAACGGACCACATGCTTCAACAACCGCCGTCATAACGCGAAACCTGGTTGCACTTGAAAGCCGCTTTCTTCTTCACCAAGGGTGCGGAAACGGACGCACACGCACAGTGCTGCCTGGCAGGGCTTCTGCAGTCTTGCACGGGACCTCCACCTCCGCGGGACACAGACTGTCACCCGCATCCCCCGGCTCCTGGAGGTCCCTGGGCGGCCCAGGCGCCCACTGGGGGCTCTCCAAAGCTTCCATGACGGCCCCTGGCCATCGCTCGGACGTCCATTCCCTGTGCTTTGTTCGGTTTCGTGCGTGGTTTCTTCGCAGGATGATCCAGGATGCTCCTCAATGATCCCCGCAGAGGCCCAGGAAGCCCACCCAGGCCGCTAGGATGGCCTAAGGTAGCGTCATGGCGGCCCAAGACGGCCTGAAGACGACTGAGGCCGAAAAACGGTTCCAGAGGGCCCCGACGGCAGCTCCTGGAGGGCCCGAAGAAGCAGAAACAAAAGGTGTTCCTTAGATTGTTCGTCGATGTTTTCTTACCACGTTTCTGGGCTTCCGTCTGCTCAAGACGGCCCACGGAAGCTGCACGATGGCCCCAAGAAGGCCCAAGGGGACCCCAACATGGCCCGAGAGGCTCTCAAGACGACCTAAGTACGGCGCAAGAGGGGCCCTAAGATGGCCCAGTACGGTTCTCAGAAAGCCCTAAGGTGGCCCAAGACTTGAATAGGGCTGGGGGGGCAGAACACCCGAAACGGACGTCAAGGGGTCAACCTGTTCGGTCAAGCTGAAATTGATGCACTACACCTAGTGTCAAGCCAAAACTTTGGACATAAGCGAATGGTTGGACGTTGCACATACTCGTCGGCTTAACTGGCGAGGCATTTGACCACCTTGAAATCCATGTTTTGGTGGTCCTGCAGGGGAAGGCGCCCTCTGACCCTCGGCCCTATTCAACGGGCCCCGGAGGGATTCAAAACGGCCGTCGAAAGCCCCTCGATGGCCCCGAGACGGCCACCAAGAGAGGCACTCCAGTCCGGCCAGGGTGGCCCCGAGACGGCCCAAGAGAGCCCCAGGACGGCCCAAGAGAGCTCCTCGACGGACCCAAGACGGCCCCTACGAGGCATTCAGGGGGCCACATGCGAACCCTACCCCTACCCCCCGCGATTTCTGAGGGGGAGGGTGGGACTTCGCCCTCCCCCTCCCTCAGAAATCGTCCACCTCCCCTCACGAAGTGAACCCCACCCTCCCCCTCAGAAATCGTGGGGGATAGGGGTAGGGTTCGCATGTGGCCCCCTAGCATTCCACTTCGGCCAGGAGGGCCCCCAATGGACGGCCCAAGAGAGCCCCCAGTGACGGCCCACCGGAGGGCTCTCCGAGGCAGCCCCAAGGGGGGCTCCCGGGCATGCAGGAGCCCAGGAAGGCCCCAACACAGACCTTCGGGTGCTTCAGCGCCGCGACAAGGAAACAGGTGTCCAGTCATTTAACGCATGTCCCTGCCTCTTTCTTTGACCATGCCACACCTCCGATGAGCGCGAGATGCTCCCGCGGAAGGAAGGATGGCAGGAGCGAGCCACCAACGCGGCCAAATCCAGCCGCTCTGGCACGGGAACGTTTGTTTACAGCCTCTTTCTGCGCAGCCGACATCGGATTCACAACCTACCTGAATTCAGACCGTTCGGCGACCTGCAAAGGGGCGTCAACTCCACCCCCCCCCCCCGACCGCCCGCGCCGACGAAAACGATGCCCAGTTCACGACACGTACCAACTCAGTCAGACCAGTCGTCGGAGTTGCGCTGCTCCTATACTCAGTCTCCTTCCTGCAGCGACGTTGCACAGGCACGGTGGCGGGGTTTGCCGCAGGCAACTGGATAAGCACCCCGACGAGCGAAGCCGCTTAGTAAACGCAGCCAAGGAAGCACTGACACAGGGCAGGGCTGTTTAGTAGACGCCAAGGGCCATTGAGTAAACACCAATTACAATCGAGGCGCATGATAATAAGGATGCACGTTAAAAGGATGCAAGGGCCTTGGAAGGCCATGCCGACACCATTCGAAAGGGGCGCGGCCAGCGAAAGCGGTCAAGGACGAGCCGAAGGGGCAGGGCTGCAAGGGCAACCTGCCTGTGTGGGGGTGGAGGTGTTTTTTGTGCCCCCCTTGACTTCAGGGAAACCCATCCGTGTCTTGACTTCAGGGAAGCTCATCCGTGCGGTGACCTCGAAACCCCAAGAGGCCTCACCGCACGGTCTGGCACCACACGGCCTTGGGACCTCGGAGGCCCCAGCCGCCCGAGACGTCCTCGGAGAACGACCCGAGTCCCAACACCGTGCGGTGGCCCCGAACCCCCGCAGACTCACCGCACGGTGTGGTCACCACCCCGTTGGGGGCCCCCGAGGAGGAGGGAGGGAGGAGGGAGGAGGGAGGAGGGAGGAGGAGGAGGGGGAGGATGGGGGAGGATGAGGAGGAAGGGAGGAGGAGGGAGGAGGAGGGAGGCGGGAGCGGTGATGGAGGAGGAGGAGGAAGGAGGGGCGGAGGGTAGGAGGGGGGAGGGAGGAAGGGAAGGGAGGAGGGAGGAGGAGGAAGGGATGGAGGGAGGAGGGTGAGGAGGAGGGGAGGAGGGAGGAGGGCGAGGAGGGAGGGAGGGAGGAGGGAGGGAGGAGGAGGGGAGAGGAGGTGGAGAGGGAGGAGAGGAGGAGGGCGGAGGAGCGTGCCCGGAGCGACGACCCGATGGCCGCCGGCGGGCCGAGCGACGACCCGAAGGCCAGGCGACCGCGGCCTGCAGGCGGGCGGGCCTTCCCAGGCGGGCGGCAGGGCCCCATCGGAAGCCCGCGGGCCCGGCCCTCGGAGCCCTCGGAGCAGGCCCAGGAGGCTTCCCTCCTCCTGCTCCTCCTCCTCCTGCTCCTCCTGCTCCTCCTCCTCCTCCCTCCTCACTCCTCCTCCGCCTCCTCCTCCTGCTCCCCTCCTCCATCCTCCTCCGCCTCCTCTCTCCTTCCTCCTGCTCCTCCTCCTCCTCTGCCTCCTCCTCCTCCTCTCCTCCTCCTCCTCCTGCTCATCCTCCCCCTCCTCTCCTGCTCCTCCTCCTCCTCCTCCTGCTCCTCCTCCTCCTCCTGCTCCTCCTCCTCCTCCTCATCATCCTCCTGCTCCTCCGCCTCCTCCTCCTCCTCCTCCTCCTCCTCCTCCTCCTCCTGCTCCGCCTCCTCCTCCTCCTCCTCCTCCTCCTCCGCCTCCTCCTCCCCCTGAGCCTTCTCTGAGAAAGCCCTCCTCCTCTGCCATTGTTCTCCCCCCCCCCGTGGGCGCGCCGTCGCGCCCGGGCGGCGGGACGCGCCGTCCAGCCTGCCGCAGATCTCGTCGGGGTCGCCCGTGTGCCCGCCGTGGCACAGCGCGTGCCAGTGGGCCAGCAGCAGGCCCATGATCGGGCGCTGCTAGAATCGAGTCGGGGATCGAGTACGCAGGGCTGAACCTAAACGGTGTTTTTCGTTCTCGTTTTGTCTTCGTTTTCCTTCGCTTTTGTCTCGAATCCGCCTTTACCGCAAAACGAAGCCGAAACGAAAACGGTCCACGAAATCACCAACAACACCGTTTAGGTTCAGCCCTGCGACTACGCAATTGATTTGCTCCAAAATTAATTCTTCCTGCCGAGTCCACGAATATTTCGTGGACTCGGGAGGACAAGTCAATTTCGAAGCAAATCAATTCTGCAGTCGATCCCCAACTCGTTAGAGGTGCCCCCGCCCTAACAAATCATCAAAACATATGCAGAGATACCAGAAACATCGTCCCCACACTAGTTGTTTTCACTACTTTTGAATATTCCTCCTGTAGATGGACACGCCCGACTTAGCCCTGGCCCAAGGTGCCCTCCAGCTTGTCGCTCCATTTTGGAGCCCCTGGGGCCCTTTGGGCCTCGTGAGGGGTGCCCTGGAGGCCGTCTGGGCCACCGCGAGAATCCTGGGGGTACCTTGTGTGCCGAGGGGCACTTCTAATTCTAGCAGCACCCGGCATGACCAGCAGGTCCGCCCAGAGCGCGTGGAAGAGGCTCGACGCGGTCAGGCTCGGGTTGATCACGTCGAGGGGGTCCGGGGACACCTCGCGGATCTTCTGACCCGGGTCAATACAAACCCGGGTCAATCAGGCCCTGCAGGATCCCGCAGGAAACTGCGCCCAAGCCCGGGTCAGTGCACCCCTCTCCCTGCAGGATACTGCAAGGTCCGGCGCTCTGGCCGACCCCCGTTTGCATTGACCCCCGTCTATTGAGCCCCGAACGCCTTCATGATTCCCAGCACCAACGCCCAGGGCACCATCCGCACGTCGCTGGACTCGAGGGGGCCCAGCAGCACCTCCGGGGCGGAAAACACGGGGAACTGGTACATGATCTTGACGAAGATGACGATCGTGTTGTACCACTGCAGCGCCTTCCAGAAGAGCGGGGACATGTGGGGGAACGCCATCAGTGACAGGACTACCGCCAGGGCGTTCAGGCACGCTGCCACGGACATGTAGGACAGAAACTGGACCACGACGGCGCAGACCAGCATCGGCAGCGTCTGCGAGGCGAGCGCCTTGCAGGCAAGCAGGGGCAGGCCGTTGTCCTCTCGGTGGTGCTGCAGAGGCTCGCGCCACGCACCGCCCGCGCCCCTGAAGATGCGAAAAGGAAAATCCTCCTGAGACACCGTGTGGTCGGCGTCGTCCTCGCACATGAGCTCGCCCCCCGGCAGGACGTGGTAGACCCGATCGATGTTGTCGCGCGCGCGGTACACGGCGCACGGCCGCCCCCGCAGCCAGGCGCTGAGCACGGCGGGCCAGTTCTCGGAGTGCTCGAGCTGGAACTGCCAGACGTCCGCCGACTCCTCTGAAAGGGGCCCTGGGACACACAAAGAGATGCACGCAAATCAAAGGATTCCCCTATATTTTCCCATACTTCCTGGGTTCTGTCCTCCCCCCCTATTTTCCCATATGTTCTGGGGAATCGACGATGAGTTGTGTCTGTGTGTTGTTTCCCCTCCTGCTCCTCCTGCTCCCAGCAGCCCTCCGCGTGCGCCCTGTCCGAGGCCACCTGCTCGGGGGCGGCCCGCAGGAAGAGGAAGTCGTTGATCATCGCCTGGGAGGGCTCCAACCTCCTCCTCCTCCTCCTCCTCCTCCTCCTCCTCCTCCGTCCTCCTCCGCCTTCGTCCTCCTCCGTTGTTGTCCTCCTCCTCCTGCTCCTCTGCCCTCCCACCCTGGTCCTGGCCAGGCTCACCCCAGGCCCAAGATCGGTGCACACGGCTGGGCCTGGGACAGAAGAGCATCCTTCCAGAACACGAGGACCCTCCGCTGACCCAACTGACGAGCATCCGAGGTAGCCCACCCCTCAGGATACACAAGAACGCCCAACGGACACGAAGAACATCAGGGTACCCTCCCCGAGCCGACCTCGAGCTTATACCCCGGTCCGACCGTGCGCTCAAGTCGAGCATGCCCCCTACAGGCACATCTCGGAAGGAAAATACAACATTGTCAAACCATAATAACGGAAATGATCACAAATGGTAGGAGCATCGTCCGCAGACTACTTTTTGACTATTTTTGAATACTGCTCCTTTAAAGGGACACGCCCGACTTACCCGTACGCCGCCCTGCCTTGACGAGGAAGCCATACACTACAGCGAACGGCTGCAATAAGGAACACCTACTTTTTAAAGGGGTTCGGTCGTTCTTTTCGTTAAACTTGCACTTGTTGTCTGTCGTTCCATGTGCGATCCAGATTATAGATCGTTCCTTACAGTCGGGGCGTTGACCTAAGGAACCCTAAATAAGGAACGAGGCCTCTGTTTTCCATAAGTTAAACTTCGATTTCCGATCGAAAGCATAAGAAAAACCTGAGGCAAGCTGTGAAACACTTAAGGAACGCGGAGCCTCTCCCCAACCAAAAGGGTTCCTTCTTCAGGGCCCCGACTGTATGCGTTCTGTGCATGTGCTGTCTGTCGTTCTATGTGCGGTATGTATTATATGTCGTTCCTTGTGCGTTTTTCCTTGGAAAAGCCGGGCATCGTTGTTTATGTATCGTTCCGTAAATCTGGGCGATGACTGTACACACCGATCTTGGGCCTGGCATCGGCCGGGCCAGGGATCGGTGCGGGTGCGGACCCAAACGCGCGACCCTTTTACGTGGCCATACACTCGGGGCGTGCAATTAAGGAACCCTAGATAAGAGACGAGGCCCCTATTTTCCACAAGCTGAACTTCGATTTCCCGTCGAACACCCAAGGAACACCCAAGGCAAACTGCGAAACAATTAAGGCACACGGAGCCCCCCCCCCAACGAAAAGGGTTCCTGCTTCGGCGCCCCGGCTGCACAGTTTGAATTCGTAGTAAGGACGCGCTGTAAGGACGCAGGACCCTTGGACGACCCTTGGATCCCAAGTGAAGATTTTCTAGTGGTGCATTGCCGAACAAATCTAAGGACGCAAGGGTGCCTTTGGGATGGGTAGCGTCCATAATACTAGGTCGGGCATGTCCCCCATACACGATGATTTTGGGCGACGCATAACTTACGCCGACGGTAGGACGCCACATGATATTTAGATTATCCCTCGCCCTTCTCTTCTTCGACTAGCGGAGGCCTTCCTTCCGCCCCTTGCGTCCTCCTCATCTTCCTCCTCCTTCTCATCCATCTCCTCCTCCTGTGCATTCTCGTCGTACTCGTTGCATACATTATCCTCTTCCTCTTCCGCCTCCTCCTTCTCCTCCTCTTCCTCCTCGTCCTCCGCCTCTTCCCTTCCCTCCCCCATCCTCTTCGTATTATTTATCCCTCTGGCTTTTTTTCCTCCGCCTTCACCTCCCCTCCTTCTCCCCCTCATCTCCGCCCCGCCTGTTCTCCTCGTGCACCTCTCGTTCCTCATGGCAGGAGCGCGCGCTTCGGTTTTCCTTGGCGCCGTCGCCGCCTCGGACAACACGGGCGCACTCTCAAATGGCCACGTCGCGCAGCCGTCGGGACAACCCCGCGGGCCAGGCCGTCGGGGCAATCCCGCGAGCCATTGGCGCGCGAAACCAAGCCGGTGGGACAACCCCGCGGGCTTCGAGCGGGGCGCAACCGCGCTCAGGCGAGAGGCAGCACAAAGCCCAGCTCTGCCGCGAGCTGCCCCGCCTCTGCCCTGGAACTCTTCGCTATCTCGCCGAATTTCTTCTCGGGCCCATGACAATAGCAAGTTTGCCGACGACCAACTCGGCATACAACACTCGGATTGCCAACACGAGAGCTCCAGCTTGACACTTCCTCGCATGTCGCTCACAGCCGAGGCTCCCGCCTGATTCTTCCGCCATACTCGAGCTTGGCGAAGCCAAAAATGACGACGGCTACAGGATTCCGATGACCCGCTCGGATTACTAACATGAGCTGGGACCCCCATATACGCCCATGAGGAGGGGGCTCCCGCTCCAGACTTCTTCGCAAGTCACTCACAGACGAGGCTCCCGCCTGACACTTCCGCCATACTCAACCTTGCAAAAACCAAAAATGACGACAGTTGCAGGGTCCCGATGACCCAGTCGGGTTACTCACGTGAGCTGCGAGCCCCATAGAGAAGGGGCCCCCGCCAGAGACTTCCTCGAAATTCACTCACTGACGAGACTCACGCCTGAGACTTTCGCCATACCCAAGCTTGAAGAAGCCAAAAGTGACGACGGTTACATGATTCCGCTGGCCCGCTCGAATGATGTGCATGAGCTGCGGGCCCCATTGAGGAGGGGGCTCCCGCCTGAGACTTCCTCGCAATTCACTCACAGACGAGGATACCGCCTGAGACAGTTACAAGACTCCGATGACCTGCTCGGACTACTCACGTGACATGCGGGCCCCATGGGGAGGGGGCTTCCGCCTGAGACTTCTTTGCAATTCGTTCTCAGCCGAGGCTCCCATCTGAGACTTCCGCCAAGCTCAAACTTGGAGAAACGAAACGTGACGGCGGCCACAAGATTCCGATGGCCCGCTCGGATTCGAACATGAGCTGCGAGCCCCGTACGGAGGGGTTCCCGCCTGAGACTTCCTCGCTATTCACTCACAGACGAGGCTCCCGCTTGAGAATGCCGCCGTACTCAAGTATGAAACATGACTACAGTTACAGGGTTCCGATGGCCCGCCCGGATTACTCACATGAGCTGCGGGCCCCACAGGGAGGTGGCTTCCGCCTGAGACTGTCTCGCAATTTACTCAAGGCTCCCGCCTGAGACTTCCGCCATACTCAAGTTTAAAGAAGTCAAACATGACGACAGTTACAAGCGTCCGATGACCCGATCAGATTCGAACATGAAGTGCGGGCTCCATCGGGCAGGGGCCCCCGCCTGAAACTTCCTCGTAATGTACTCACAGACGAGGCTGCCGCCTGAGATGAAGGAGTGAGTGAGTGATGACTGAAGATGAAGGTACATATAATGGTTTTTATGGTGGTGGTGATGATAATGTGAGTGAGTGAATGGGCGGGTAGGTGGGTGAGTGAGTGGGTGAGTGCGTGATTGAGTGATGATGATGACTGTGTGAGTGTGTATGTGTGTATGAGTGAGTGTGAGTATTTGAGTGAATGTGTGCGATTAAAGAAGAGGAGAGGGTGTGTTCTCTTGTTCCTGAGAGGAGGGTGTGCTGAGAAAGCAAGAACCCCACACTGACGCGCGAGACCAAGCTGTTGCGATAACACCGCGGGTTTCGAGCGGGGCGCAGCCGCGCTCAAGCGAGAAGCAACGCGAAACTCAGCTCTGCCGCGAGCTGATCCGCCTCTGCCCTGGAGCTCTTCGCCATATCGTCGAATTTCTTCTCAGCAAGTTTGCCGACGACCAGCTCGGCATACAGCACTCGGATTGCCAACGCGAAATGCGAGCCCCATCGGGAGGATGGCCCGAGAGGGCTCCCGCCTGAGACTTCCTCGCGATTCACTCACTGCCGAGGCTCCCGCCTGAGACTTCCGCCATACTCGAGCTAGAAGAAACCCGAAGTGACGACGGTCACAGGACTCCGATGACCCGCTCGAATGACTCACATGAGCTGCGGGCCCCATAATGAGGAGGCTCCCGCCTGAGATTTCCGCCATGCTCAAGCAATAAAAACCAAAAGCGACGACAAGGATTCCGACGACACGCTCGGATTACTCACATGAGCTGCGGGCCCCACCGAGAGGGGGCTCCCGCTTGAGACTTCCTCGCAATTCACTCACAACCGACGCTCCCGCCTGAGACCTCCTCCATAATCATGCCTCAGGGGCTCAGAAGTGACGACAGTTGCAGGGTCCCGATGACCCGCTCGGATTACTCACGTGAGCTGCGGGACCCATACGGAGGGGCTGGGCTGTCGCCTAAGATGTCCTCGCAATTCGCTCACAGACGATGCTCCCGCCTGAGACTTCCGCCATACTCAGGCCTCAGGAGCCCAAAAGCGACGACAGTTACAAGCGTCCGATGACCTGCTCGGATTCGAACATTACGTGCGGGCTCCATCGGGAGGGGGTTCCCGCCCGAGACTTCCTCGCAATTCACTCACAGACGAGGCTGCCGCCTGAGATGAGTGAGTGAGTGTGTGAGTGAGTGAGTGAATGAATGAGTCAGTGAGTGAGTGAATATGATGATGATAATGATGATGATGGTGGTTGTGATGATGATAATGTGAGTGAGTGAGTTGGCGGGTATATAGGTGGGTGAATGAGTGGGCGAGTGCGTGAGTGAGTGAGTGATGATGAGTGTGAGAGTGAGTGCGTAAGTGGGTGAGTGAGTGAGTGAGTGTGAGTGATTATGTGCATGAGTGATTGAGTGAATGAGTGTGCGATGAGAGAAAAGGAGAGGGTGTGTTCTCTTCTTCTTGCGCGGGGTGTGTGCAGAGAAAACAAGAACCCCACTTTGGATGTGGGGAAAACGAATCGACAAATACTCAAAAATAGCCAAAGATTGACGAAAGTTCGTCCCCAGCCTGTTCTATCACTATTTTGGAACATTCCACCTGTAGAGGGACATGCCCAACTTAACCTTACTATTGATTTTCTCTTTACGTGGGCGTTCGGATCTTAGCGGGCCCTGGAAACGACAGGGCCGTTTTTTACCGGTTCCGTTTTGCCGTTTTTTTTTCGGTTCCGACGCCGTTGTTTTACCGGTTCCGTCGCCGTTTTTTGGCTGGTTCCGGCTCCGGTTCCAATCCTGGACGCGTCTTTTTTGCCGTTTCCGGTCGCCGTTTTTTTGCCGTTCCCATTTTCAAGGGACATTTTTTGGGAAACGGTGAAAAAACGGCCCTGCCGTTTCCAAGGCCCACAAAGGTCCGGATGTCTCGACCCATCCCCTGGAATTGGTCTTCCGCCCCGAGCTGCGCTGGAACGGGCCCGGGGCCCACGAGGGCCCCCACGGAGTCCTCCTTCTCCTCCTCCTCCTCCTCCTCCCCCTCCTCCTCCCTCCTCCTCCTCCTCCTCCTCCTCCTCCTCCTCCTCCTCCTCCTCCTCCTCCTCCTCCTCCTCCTCCTCCTCCTCCTGCCCCTCCTCCTCCTCCTCCTCCTCCTCCTACTCCTCTCCTCCTCCTCCTCCTCCTCCTCCTCCTCTCCTCCTCCCCCTCCTCCCCCTCCTCCTCCTCCTCCTCCTCCTCCTCCTCCTCATCCTCCTCCTCCCCTCCTCCTTCCTCCTCCTCCTCTCCTCCTCCTCCTCCTCCTCCTCCTCCTCCTGCTCCTCTCTCCTCCTTTCTCCTTCTCCTCTCCTCCTCCTCCTCCTCCTCCTCCTCCTCCCCTCCTCCTCCTCCTCCTCCTCCTCTCCTCCCTCCTCCTCCTCCTCCTGCTCCTCCTCATCCTCCTCTCCTCCTCCTCCTCCTCTCCTCCCTCCTCCTCCTCCTCCTGCTCCTGCTCCTCCTCCTCCTCCTCCTCCTCCTCCTCCTCCTCCTCCTCCTCCTCCGCCGGACATGGGCTCGCGTTTCTGTCACGCCGCGGGGGGGTCCGGGAAGTTGGTGCCCTTCGATCGCCCCGCACAGCTGGCGCAGGGCCTTGTCCGCCGCGGCGGCCGCGCCTCTGCGGGATCAGTCAGCACCGAATCGGATCGGAAGGGAGGAGGAGGAGGAGGAGGAGGAGGAGGAGGGGGAGGAGGAGGAGGAGGAGGAGGAGGAGGAGGAGGAGGAGGAGGAGGAAAGTCGAACCAGAACATCGAATCGCATCGGTGGCGCCGGGATGCGCCGCAGCGCCGTGCGAGCAGGCATCGGGCCATCGCTCGGACGTCCATCTCCTGTTTTTCTGTCGGTGTCGTGCATGTTTTTTTCGCCAAATGACCAGGGATGCTCCTCGATGGTCCTCGCCGAAAAAAAAATGCACACGTCCGAGCGATGCCAAGAGCATCGGGCCGCGTCGCATCGCCAGGGAGTCGAAGCCGAGCCGCCCCCTCGCCGCGCGCTGTCCTGGAGGCCGCCCGGGGCCGTGCGGCGGAGCCGGTGGGCACACGCGGGCCCTCCCCCCTGAACTCCCTGTACGTCAGGTGCCTTTTTCTCAGTCGAAGGGGGATACCTTCCGCCGAGCCGAGACGGCAAGCTGCCGCCGCGCAAGCCGCCCCCGCGCCGCCCACCTCACAAGCCGGGTGGCAGGCGAGCGCTTTTGTTTGCAATTCCTGGGCGGTGCAGCGGGGGCCCGTGCCAAGAAGCACCCTGCTTGTCTCCAGGGTGCCCTGGGTTTCTCAAGTTGCGATGGTTCTGCTATGGCAAGCGTGACGCTCCCACACCACAGAGTCAACGGACGTCCTGGGGTCTCAGGGTTGAGTTTCTTGTGAAGGCTTTCTTGTGGACTGGCCTCCACTGTAGTTCAATCAGCGAACCCTCCAAAGGTGACGGAAAGCGAGCCTCGCGTGCGATCCGCTCGTTGGGAGAAATTGATACTGGGGGGAATTCGAGCGGGGCGGCAAGCGCACGGGCCAGGTGACGGAAAGAGCGAGGTACGAGTGATGACGTTCTGGTGGGGCGAAGCCCTCTAGGGAGGGGTCCAGGGGAAGGCGTAGGGTGGGGAACTCCGGGCAACACGACCCCCCCCCCCCCAAGACGGCCCCAGAAGCGCCCAAGACGGCCCAAGATACTCCCAAGACGGCCCAAGAAACCCCAAGAGAACTCCAAGAGGGCTCCAAGACTACCCAAGAGCGCTCGAAGAGAGCCCAAGACCGCCCAAGAGCGATCGAAGATGGCCTCAGATGGCCTCCGGACGGTCCAAGAGAGCCCCTAAGACGGCTCAAGGGGCCCTCAAGAGGGCCCCCGAGAGGGCCTCAGGACACCAAAAGCATGTCCCCAAAGTTTTGAAGGTGTTTCGGGTTCTCGCCTTATCGGACCCAAAACGTCCCCAAAACGGCCCAAGAGGGCCCCAAAAGAGCCCCAAGAGGGCCCCAAGAGGCTCCCAAGAGAGCCCTTGGAGGCTCCTAAGAAAACTCCAAGACGGCCACAAAAAAATCCAAGACGCCCCGAGAAGACCCAGAAGGGCACCAAGACGGCCCAAGACGGCCCCAAGACGGTCCAGAAGGGCCCAAAAAGGCTCCGGAAGACGGCAAAGAAAAGAGCGATCGGCACCGTACAAGGCTCTGGACACCAAGGCTCCCAGAAGCGAACGGTGTCATGAACCACCTGTCATCTGAGGCACGTTTCTGCAGCGCGCTTTCCGTTCCCGTGCCAGCACGAATCTAACACGCCCTACGTTCGGCCGCGTAAGCTGCGCGTAAGCTCCGCACGACCCACGAGGCCCCCGAGGCGGCCTGACATACCTCCAGGACGGCCTCATAAAAAAGGCCCAAGAGGAGCCCAAGACGGCCCAAGAGCGTTCAAAACGAGCCCAAGGCGGCCTCAAGACGGCCAGAGGGGCCCTCAATACGCCCCAGAAGGCCACCAGGAGGACACCCAAATGGTAAACATCGCCCCGTTCCTTCGGGAAGACGTGCATTTTTAGCACATCCGCTTCTTTGGTCTGAACAGCGTCCAAGACGGCCCCCAAGACCGCCCCAAGACGGCCCAAGAGGTCACCAAGAGGGCCCCAAGCTGCCCCAGTGGGATCCAACACGGCCCAAGACGGCCCAAGAGTCCCAAGAAACCCAAGAGAGGCCCTGGAGCGTCCCAAAAGATTCCCAAGAGAGCCCCAAGAGGGCCACAGGAGGTCCCCGAGATGGCCCAAGAGGGGGCCCCAAGACTGCCCAAAAGAGACCCCGAGTGGAGGAGGAGGAGGAGGAGGAGGAGGAGGAGGAGGAGGAGGAGGAGGAGGAGGAGGAGGAGGAGGAGGAGGAGAGGAGGAGGAGGAGGGGAGGAGGAGGAGGAGGAAGGAGGAGGAGGAGGAGGAGGAGGAGGAGGAGGAGGAGGAGGAGGAGGAGGAGAGGAGGAGGGAGGAGGGAGTAAGAAGAGGAGAGGGAGGGGGAGCGGGAAATGCTCCAGCGAAGAACTGGATCTTAATGCCCCTACCTTGGCACGCAGATATGGGCGAAAGCTCCAACGCGCGCCCCGCAAGGAACGGGAGGGCCCGAGAGAGGCGCCGGGCTTGTGCGCGACCGCCGTCGCACTACGTCGAGCAAGCGCAAGGAACCCAACCCCTCTTGGAGCCCCGTTCCTTAGATCAGCAGCCCTCATCGACAAAACGAACCCGCGCGTCCAAAATCTAAAGGAACACCAAGGGAACTCGCCGCCAAATAGGTAGCGGAACGCATGCAAACCAAAGGAACGACCGAACCGCTTTTGAAAAATAAGTGCTCCTTATTCAAGCCGGATCCTGTAGGAAGGAGGAAAGAGGGAGGACGGAGAAGGGAGGGGGAGGGAAGGAAGGAGGGAGTGAGGGAGGGAGGGATGGAGGGAGGACTGGAGGGAGGAGGAGGAGGAGGAGGAGGAGGAGGAGGAGAAGGAGGAGAAGTAGGAGGGAGGAGAAGGGAGGAGCAGGAGGGAGAAACAGGAGGGACGAGCAGAAGGACGAGGAGCAGGAGCAGGAGGAGGAAGAGGAGGAAGAGGAAGACGGGAGAAGGAGGGAAAAGCAGGAGGTAGGAGCAAGAGGGAGGAGCAGGAGGGAGAAGCAGAGGAGGAATAGGAGGAGGGGGAGGAAGAGGATGACGATGACGATGACGATCGGGATGACGAAGACGATGACGATGACGACGACGATGACGACGACGACGAGGTTGAGGACGACGACGACGACGATGACGATGACGATGATGATGACGATGACGATGATGATGATACTGATGATAGTGATGATGATGACGATGAAGCTGGCGATGACGATGATGCAATGATGATGATGTTGTTGAGGCTGATAATGTTTATCATGATAATGATGATGGAGAGGATGGCGATGATGACGATGACGATGGTGATGATGATGGTGATGATGACGACGATGATGAAGACCATGGTGATGATGACGATTATAGTGATCATGATAATGATGACGATGGTGATGATGCCGATGAATATGATGACGATGATGCTGATGATGATGATGATGCGGATGATGACGACGATGGCAATGATGACGGTGACGGTGGCGATGATGATGATGACCACGATTATGATGATGTCGTTGATGACAATGATGCTGATGACGATGATGATGAAGAAGACTATAATGATGATGACGATGATGATGATGATGCTGATGACGATGATCATGGTAATGACTCTGATCCTGATGATGATGATGACGAGGAGGAGGATGCTGCTGATGATAAGGACTATGCTGATGATTTGATCATGATGCTGTTGATGACGACAACGACGACGACGAGGATGCTGGATGCTGATGATGATGGTGGCAATGACAATGATGATGATGACGACGACGAGAAGGAGGAGTAGGATGACAATGCTGATGATGATGACGATGACGATGCTGATGATGACGATGACGGCGAGAAGGATCATTCTGATGATAATGCTGATGTTGATGTTGAAGATGATGATGATGATAATGATTGTGACGACAATGATGATGATGACGACGAGGAGGATGCTGAATGATGATGATGATGATGATGATCATGATCACGATGATGGTTAAGATGGTGACGATGACGATGACGATGATCATGCTGATGCTGATGATAATGATGATTGGGATGATGATAATGATGGTGATGCTGATGGTGATGATGACGATGCTGATGATGATGATCATGGTGACGATGATGACGATGATGATGATGATCATGATGATGACGATGGTGATGATGGTGGCTGATGATGACGATGACGATGACGATGCCGATGAATACGGTGATGATGCTGATGATGACGATGATGATTCGGAGGATGACGACGACCATGATGATGATAATCATGACGATGATGATGATGACGAGGATGATAATGTGAATGACGATGCGGATGATGTGATGATGATGACGATGGTGATGGTGATGATTATGAGGATGATGATGACGATGATGATGACGACGAGGAGGGTACTTATGATAATGATTACTACCATGATGATAACAACGATGACGATAATGATGATGATGATGATGATGATGATGACGATGACGACGAGAAGAAGGATAATGCTGATGATGCTAGTGATGATAATGATGGCGATGACAATGATGATGATGACGAGGAGGATGCTGAATGATGATGATGACGAGGAGGATGCTGAATTATGGTGATGATGATCATGATCACGATGATGGTTAAGATGATGACGATGAAGATGAGGATGAGGATTGGGATGATAATGATAATGATAATGATAATGATGACGATGGTGATGATGACGGCGACGGGGAGGAGGAGGATGCTGATTATGATGATGATCATTACGATGATGATGATGATAACGATGACACTGATGGTGATGACGACGACGGCGAGGAGAAGGAGAAGGACGATGTTGATGATGACAATGATGATGATGATGATGATGATGATGATGCTGCCGACGAGGAGGATGCTGGATGATGATAATGATGGTGATGATGATAATCATGTTGATGATGGTGATGATGATGATAACGATGATGATGAGGAGAATGCTAATGACGACGATGATGATGATGATGGAGATGATGATGATGATGATGATGATGATGATGATGATGATGATGATGAGGACAATAATGACGATGACGATGACGATGTCGATGATGATGATGATGACGACGATGACGATGGTGATAATGAAAATAGTAATGATAATCATGATGATGACGACGACGGCGACTTCGACGACGACGATGATGATGCTGCTGTTGATGATGACGATGATGACGACTGTCCGAAATCGGCATCGAGCCAGGTCGATCGGATCGACCTGGGCTCTGGCCTCTGGCGGCTTCGCCGAGCGGCCCGCACACGCCCGCGTCCGCGCCGGGCGCGGGCGCGGGGGCCTCCGCGGGCTTCTCCGCGCCGCCCGCCTGCGACGGAGGCAGCATCGGGACAAAATCCAACCGATATACCGGGTCCGGCTTGAGTAAAGAACACTTGCTTCTCCTGCTTCTCCTCCTCTTCCCACTTCTCCTCCATCCTCTCCTACCTTTGATCCTCTTCCTCCTCCTCCTCCTCCTCCCTCCCGTCCTCCCTCCGTGCCCCCCTCCCTCACTCCCTCCTTCCTTCCCTCCCCCTCCTCTTCCGTCCTCCCTCTTTCCTCCTCTCTAATACAGGGTCCGGCTTGAATAAGGAACACTCACTTTTCAAAAGGGGCTCGGTCGTTCCTCTGGTTTGAATGCGTTCGGCTACCTTTTTGGCGGCGAGTCCCCCTGGTGTTCCTTCGGACTTCCTAGAATCACTTTGAAAAAAACGGCTTCGTTCCTTACTTATCGTTCCTCAGGTCAGGCCGAATACTGTAACTCGGAAACCTCCCAGAACGGGCGAGTTTGGAGGATGTCTCGGGCGCTGCGGTCGTTTCAGAGCGTTCCGGAACGGCGTGGAGTCGAGACACAATCGGACTGACATAACTCGGAAACCTCCGAGAACCGCCGGGTTTGGAGGATGTCTGAGGCGCCGCGGTCGTTTCAGAGCGTTCCGGAACGTTCTGGCACGGATTTATCTCGATTCTAGGCTTATGTTACTCCCATCGTACTTAGGGACCACATTCCAGAAATAATTTCGAGCACCTGGAAAAGTGTCGAAAAGGATCGGAACAGTGTCGAAACAGTGTCGAACGAATGTCTCCCAGGGCCCGACACGTGAGAACCCTCGAAAATTCTATCTATTTTTGGTGCTCGAAATTCTTCCTGGCGGTCCAAGCTAGAATAGGTTTGAGCAGGGGCCGACCGTCCCTGCATTCCTATAGGCCTACCACGAAATCTTCTTAGAGTCCATTCTCAGAGCAAAAACAAGGTTCTTAGAACATAAGCCCGATGTGTTAAAACAAGACAGTCCTGGCCAGAAATGCTCTAAAAACATCTCGTGGAGACCACTACAGGCACTTAGAACATTCTTTGGTGGGCCTATATGAGGAGCCGAACTCTATACACCGACGCTTTTTCCGGCCCCGCACTGAAATGCGCACAGGAAAGCGGATCCTGGTGTATACGGATCCTGGTGTATACATTTTTTGATGTTCCCCCCGGGAAATGGGACAAAAGTATACACCACACCACCCCGACGTCGTCCCCGACCCTCGAAAAGTTCTGGGATTGATAAACAGCCCGCCACTGGTAATGTACATGCTCCAGCTTCCGACTGGATCGGGAGCGGCCAAGAGGGGGGTGTCCAAGAGGGGGGGGGGTGCAAATCATGACCGGCGGCATGTGCGCGGCCCAGCGCGGGGGCCAGGGACGTCATGAAATACGAAGAGGCGCAATGAAGTCTGAGGAAATATCATGGCCCCCGCCATGACATCCACCCCCCCCTAGTCATCGCCCCCCTCCTCCTCCTCCTCCTCCTCCTCCTCCTCCTCCTCCGCTTCCTCCTCCTCCTCCTCCTCCTCCTCCTCCTCCTCCTCCTCCTCCTCCTCCTCCTCCCTCCTCCCCCTCCTTGCCGCCCCCGGCACTGCTTGAGTGGGCAGGAGCCTCCTCATTCCAGGCCCGGCCGCCCGCCTCCGAGCAGGCGGCGGCCGGCGTCAGAGCCCGGCCCACGCTCTCGGCGCTGCCGGCGCGGTCCGGCAGCGCCAGCCGCACGGCCCTGCCGCCGTCCTGAAGGGGGGAACGCCGGGGCCGGACGGGAGGGAGCGGCACAGTCGGGGCGTTGACCTAAGGGACCCTGAATAAGGAACGAGGCCCCTTTTTTCCATGAGTTCACCTTCGATTTCCTGTCGAGAACAGAAGGAAAGCCTGAGGCAAGCTGTGAAACACTTAAAAGGAACGCGGAGCCCCTCCCCAACGAAAAGGGTTCCTTGTTCAGGGCCCCGACTGTACCTGAGCATGATGTTGTTCCCATCCTGCTTAAGGACCGCATCCCAGAAATGATTTCGAGCACCCGGAACAGTGTCAAATGAGTGTCGAAACAGTGTGGGGCGAGTGTCTCCCAGGGCCCGACACGTGAAAACCCTTGAGTTTCGGTACTTGTTTTGGCGCTCGGAATTCTTTCTGGTGATCAAGGCTAAAGTAGGCTGGAGCATCATAACCTGAGCATTTTCTCAGGGCGGAGGGCTCAGGGTGGAATCCATGTGGGCTCCTGCACGTCGAGAATCCATCCGTCTTGTGATCCACCTTTGGCAGATTCGGGTCTCGAGAATCCATCGAGATGGCATTTCAGATTGCACCCTTTGCCCTCCACCCAAAAAAAATGCTCGGGGCACGAGGGGAAATATCTTTGCGCCGGCCTTTCAGGACGTGCTGCAGCGGATCTCTGCGCAGCGTTTGCGCGCGCCGCGACCCCCGCGTCGCGTCTGCCCTCAGCGCCAACGCCAGGGGCGGGGACCATTTTTTAACCGTGCCGAGCAGAGCTTCGGCCGCAGAAATTAGCGCAACAAATCGCGCATCTTCCAATTTGTGAACGCGCCGAGACTTTTCAAACGCATTTGACAAGACAGCCGTCTGTGTCAGGGGCGGGGACCAGCTTGGCGGGGGGGGTGGGGGGGGAAACGTCGGCCTTCGAAGGCCCTCGACCCTCAGGGGCTCCTCGATCGCGAGAGGCTCCTGGACCTGCTGAGGCTCCTTGACCCCCAGAGTGTTCCCCGATCCCCAGGAGCTCCTCGATCCTCAACAAAAAAGGTCCCTCGAGCCTCAGAGGATCCTCGACCCTCAGAGGCTCCTGGATCCCCAGAAAGGCTTCTCGATCCTCAGAAAGGCTCCTCCGTCCTTGGAGGCTCCTCGAGCCCCAGGGGCTCCGCGCTCCTCAGCGGCTCCTCGACCCTCAGCGAATCCTCCACCCCGCCCTCGCTCCTCTCGATCGAGGCCTTCTGTTAGCGGCGCGCAGAGGGGGGCAGGAGGAGGGGGGAAGGCTTCTTAGAAGCACCCCTGCTTCTTCGAAGGCCCCGACCTTACGTCTATAGAGAAGGCCAGCGCCTTCTAAGAAGCAGGGGTGCTTCTAAGAAGCCTTCCCCCCTCCCCCTACCCCCCTCTGCGCGTGGCCGATTCTGCTCCCCTCGCTCCTCGACCGGCCCTCGAGGCTCCTCGATCGAGGCCACGACCTTCCAGGGCTCCTCGGCCGATCGCCGAGATCCTCGAGCGACCCTCGAGGATCCTCGACCGATCCCCCACCGGCCCTCGGCCCTCGATGGATCCCCTCGAGGAGCTCCAGCCGATCCCCTCGAAGCTCCTCGACCGGTCCTCGAGCCTCGACCCTCGGGGGTCTTAGAACCGATCCTCGGCTCGGTGAGAAAGGAACGACTGGGCCGGGGGGCTGGCTGTGGGGGGGGCGAGCCCCTCGATCCGGAATCGGCGATGCAGCGCCCACAGATCGGTGATAGGCTTAGGGCGGGCATGTCCTCCTACAGGAAGATCTTGGATGGGAAGTTCGAAAAATTGAAAGAATAACATTCGAGCATGGTCAAAAATAAAACAGAAATCGCCCCCAGACTATTGTTGTCCTACTTTTATATATCCCTCCTGTAGAGGGGCACGCCCGATTTTAGCCTATCCCCCCCTAACGTTGCTGCTCGGTTCTCGGGTCATAGCTCGGCTCTCAGACGGCCGTTCGGGACGATCCAGGCCCCCCCAAGCACGTCCTCGGCGAGGCGCAGCTGCTGAAGGCATCCCGAGGCTGGAAAACCGCCGAGGGCCCAAGAGAACGCGGGAAAATCCAACGTCGACCCCCTGAGCCTACACCCCCCTCCTCCCCATCGCTGGTGAGTTACCGCCAGGAGACGATCCCTGGACCTCTCCTGGGGTGTGCTCTGACCAGGATCTCGAGGCGGATCCGGCCGAGGCAGCGAAGGCGCCCCCCAGGACGATCAAACACCTCCCGAAGGCAAAACCCAAAAGCTCGAACCTCGAGCGTTCTCCCCCCCCCCCCGAACGTTGCTACTGTTAGGTCGGGCGTGTCCCCCTACAGGCGGATTCTAGGCGAATTTGTTATATATATATATATATATATATAGGCAAAGAATGCACCGAACTAGTCAACAAATGCTCAAAAATGGTCCCCAGACCATTTTTTCACCATGCCTGAGCCTTCCTCCTGTAGAAGGACAGGTCCGACTCAATGCCACTGCCGGGGAGACGTGCGACTCGGGTCTGGGGGGCTCGGGCTCTCCTGACGGGGCCGTGGCCGTCGGGAAAGCGACCAGACCCAATCTGAAACCTCACGCGAGCTCCGCTGCAGACACCCCACGGAAATGACGGGCCTGTAGGGGGAGGGGGTCCTCCTCCTCCTCCTCCTCCTCCTCCTCCTCCTCCTCCTTCCTCCTTCTCTTCGTCCTCCTCCTCCTCCTCCTCCTCCTCCTCCTCCTCCTGCTCCCCCTCCAACTTATGGTTGTGGTGGTGGCGGAAAACAGGCCCATCAGGAAAGACGACCGAGAAACCCTGGAGAGCGAACCTCCAGGCTCGAAGCTCGAACGTCCTGCCCCCCGACCCTGACGTCAGCTATCGATCCCGGACCTCTCCCAGGTACGTTCTGACCAATTTGTTTCGAGGCGGATCCGGGCGTGGCACCGAGAGCGCCCCGGGAAGATGAAAGCATCCCAGAAGCAAGCCTCAGAAACCACCTCCGGAAAACGAACCTCGAAACTCGACCCTCAAACATCCCCCCCCCCTGGAACGTTGCCCATGCAACCGGGCCGTTAGTAAACCGGGCGGTAGCTAAGGGGCCTCTTCGAGCAGTAATGGGGTGACAGGGCATTTACCTTGCACTAGTGCGTGATACATCGGGACGACACAAAAACGTCGATACATCATCATCATCATCATCATCATCATCATCATCATCATCATCATCATCATCATCATCATCATCATCATCATCATCATCATCATCATCATCGTCATCATCACTCTGGGCGGGGGGGGTGCCATGCACTCGTCCGCGGCATATCAATTACGGTCGGACTTCCTTGGACAGGACACGCGAGAGGACACAAGACCCTTCCGAGGGCCACATTGCCACAGGAATGTAGGAGGCATTGGTCGCGAGACACAGGACACGAGGGCACCCGTGATTTGGCAGGGTCGACCTGCTGACCTGGGCCGACCGTATATTGAAAACCATTGAGAACGCACCCTTAGCTGCTGGCCCGTTCACCGACACCTCGTCTGCAGGGGCTTGGGTCAAGTCGGGCGTGTCCCCCTACAGGGGAATTTCGGGCGAACAATGAAAAATACCCCCAACAGTGCCCCAAACATGCCCAAAAATGATCAAAAAATAGTCCTCGGACTATTTCTTGACTATTTTGGATCATTACCCCCCGTAAAAAACAGGCCCGACTTAAAAGGCTCGGGGCACGCGGCCCCTGGCGTCCTCCCTGCCGCCGTCGGCGGCACCCGGCGGCGCCGCGCCGGCGGGCGCCTCGAGGTCCGAGGCCGCGCCCGCCTCCACGCCGCAGCGGGCGAGGAGCCTCGCGGTGCGGTCCTCGAGCTGGCAGGTCGAGATGGCGCCCAGCTGGTACAGCTCCCGATCCTCGATCGTCGCCGTCGTCACCACCACACCACCGTCGTCGTCGTCGTCGTCGTCGTCGTCGTCGTCGTCGTCGTCGTCGTCACCACCACCATTAAGAATCACCAGCACATGAGCATCGCCACCGCCATACAAAGCGTCGCGATCACCATCACCATCAGTATCTCTCCATCGCAATCATTGCCGTCACCGCCACAAACACAATCACAATCACTGTCGTCATCATCCGCATTATCATCATCAATATCATCATCATCAGCATCATCAGCAGCAGCAACGTCATCAGCATCATCATCACCCCCACCACCACCATCACCATCATCATCATCATCATCACCACCACCATCATCGTTAGCATCATCATTATCATTACCATCATCACCATCACCATGACCGTCATCATTATCATCATCAGCATCATCCTCATCATCATCAACATCGTCACCAGCGTCGTCATCAACATCATCAGCATCATCATAATCATCATCATCGTCGTCATCATCATCATCAACCTCGTCGTCATCATCGTCAGCAGTAGCAGCATCAGCATTGCAACTCATAATCAGCATCAAGTGTATCGTCAACGCAACTAATAAAACCATCATCATCATCATCATCAACACCAGCAGTATCACCATCATCATCGTCATAAACATCAGCATCAGCATTAGCATCATCATCAGCATCATCATCATCATCAGCATCAGCATCAGCATCATCATCATCATCATCATCATCAGCATCAGCATCAGCATCAGCATCATCATCATAATCATCATCATCCTCATCATCATCATCATCATCATCATCCTCATCCTAACCCACATCCTCATCCTCATCCTCATCCTCATCCTCATCCTCATCCTCATCCTCATCCTCATCATCTCCCGATCCTTGCAGTACTCCAGCACACAGGCCTCCTGCGTCTCGCCGATCTCGGCGCCTTGGGCGCAACCGAATCCTCCGGCCCCTCGGGCAGTTGCGCGCGAGTCGTCTGCTTCACTCCCTCTTCCTCCGTAGCCCAAATTGGCCTCCAAGATGACAAAATATAGCCCAGGACGGTTCAAGATGGCATCCAGCATGCCTGCCAGATGCCCAAGGCCCAAGGCCGCCACATGCCGACACGAAACGTCTCCAGGTGCCACGCAAACTCTCGGCGATGGCCCCCAATATCAAAACTCTGCCTCAGCAATCGCCTTGTCGAAACAGTGGAGTGAAATGGCTCGGATCGGAGCCACTCCTAGGGGAACAAAAAGTGGCATAAGCATAAAAACTCGGAGGTCCCCGCGGATTTCTCGGATCGGCGCTGGACCCCCCTCCCTGGCGCGCGGAGCGCGCCAGGGGCGGCGCCGGAGGCGCCGCCGGGGAGCCCCAGCGCCGATCCGAGAAATCCGCGCGGACCTCCGAGTTTTCATGTGTATGCCATTTTTTGGTTCCCCTATAACTCCACTTCGGCTGGGCTGGCTCCCCGGGCCTCAAGGTGGCTCCAACCTCGCCCAGAAAGCCTTCTGAACCGCCCGCCAGGGCTCCGAGATGGCCCCACGGGGCCCTCGACGGTGCCCGCCGCCCCCTCGTCGCCCTGCCGCCGCCCCGCCGCCACCCGTCGCCTGGGCTGGTCTTGCGGCCTGGCGGCTGTGCTGCCGGCGTCGCCGCCCCGCCGCCGCCTCATCGCCGCCCGTGGTCTGGGCCTGCCTAGCAGTCTGGTGGCTATGTTGCCGCCATCGCCGCCCCGTCGCCGCTACACAGGCTGCTCCGCATAGATTGCACAACAGATGTTGCACCGCACAGCAAATACTGCACAGCACATATATACGTATACACACATATACACATATATGTATCTATATGTGTATATACACATACATTTATATCTACACACATATATATGTATATATATATTGTGCAGCATTAGTTTCTTGCACTACACGTATCAAAGCGCATCGGTTGCATTATATATGTTGCACAGTATCTATAGCGCAACATATACTGCTCCACATAGCTTAAACCACATCGATTGGACCACATACATTGCACCGCATAGACTACTCAACATACATTGCAACATACATATTGCACCACATAGATTGCGCCAACTAGATTGAGCAACATAGATTGCAAAACAGACATTGCACCACATATGTTGCACCACACATGCCCTGCATTACACATAGATTGCACTGCATGGATTGCCCAATACATGTTGCACATCGTATATTGCACCACATGGATTGTACCACATAGATTGCCTCACTTAGACTGCACCACATAGATTGCACCACATAGGTGCACCACATAGGTTGCTCCACATAAATTAAACCACATATATTGCACACCATGTACTGTACATCGTAGATCGCACAATATATAGATTACACGGCATAGATTGCACCACATGTATCGCACCACATCGATTGCTCCGTATAGATTGCAACACCTAGATTGCTCCACATTATATATATATGTGTACCTGTATGTATACATATGTATATACAGCACCACAACGCTTGCTAGAAACACACGTTGCTCGGGAATCCGCGCTGGCCAGAATCCTCTGCGATAGCCCTGAGAGGGCCCTCCGGAGAGCCCCAAGGGGGCCTCCAAGGGCTCTCGTAAGGGCCCCGAGAGAGCCCCAGGATGGCCCCCAGGACGAGACGAGAAAGGGCGAGGGCTCGTCTGGCCGTGCACCCCCGCGAGGCGGTCAGCACCTCTTCAGCGCGTGCTGCATGTCCCCCCTCGTTAGGCAGGACGCCGACCACACCCCTGCACCGAGCCTGGTCCCAGGAGCGGTGCGCTGGCCCTGCTTGCGGGCCGGACTTGTGTAGCCACATCCGCGGCACCCTGGAGCGTCGGGCCACCTCCCCCAGGCACCCGATGCGCAGCGGACCTGGAAAAACACCAGGCCCCACATTCGGGTCGGGCGAAAGGGGGGGATAGCAAAGGGGGGGTTTGAGAATCAGCTCACGTAGCTGATTTTCCCGGCGCCTCCCGGCGCCGGAGGCGGCTATGTATCAAGGAATGGGGCCCTCGGTGAGGCCGAACCCAGCTGCATGCAACAAATTTCGTAACCCCCCCTTTCCCAATCCCCCCCTTTCGCCCGGCCCGACACATGTGTTGAGGCTGTGCGTTTTCACCCACGTCCACTGCGCCTCGGCCTCTTGGCGCGCCCCTCGCCAGGAAGCCCAGGACGCGGCGGACATGGGCACGAATCCTGCCCGCGCTCCTGCCTTGGCCAGGCAGGCAGGTACGGCCAACGGGAAGTCTTAAGCAGAATTGCCCATCGGTCGGAAGAAGTAGGTAAGAACACGAAGTAGGAAGGCGTTGAACGTAGATTGGGTTCCGTCCGCCCCCCTGGGGAGGACGGAAAAGGTGAAGCCACTCGATCATTGAAGCAGGAAGGCCCTTAAAAGTAGATTGGAATCTGGGAACCCACCAATACCTACTTTCAACGACCACTAAGCAGCGTATCGCGGCGGCGGCCCCGGCGACAGGCCGTGCCGTGCTCGGTGGTGGCGCACCGCCCGGTGCTCCGCGGGGCCGGGGAGCCTCCAGAGAGGCTCTCGGGACGCTCAGGCCTTTGCGGCCTGGGACGCGGAAAGCGTGCCGCTGCCAGAGCGCGGTGGGCCAGAACCAGCGGGGCGACATGCTATCATGAGGGGCAACGAGAAGGGGGGGCTGGCATAGGGGGGGGATGCATCGAGCCGGAACCGGCGACACCTCGCCGACAGATCGGCGATAGGCCTGCGATCGCGAATCCGCACATTCCTGAGCAGATTGGGGCTATCGGGCCCCTACAGTCGGGGCGTTGACCTAAGGAACCCTAAATAAGGAACGAGGCCCCTTTTTTCCATAAGTTAACCTTCGATTTCCTGTCGAAAACATAGGGAAAGCCTGAGGTAAGGAAAGCGGAGCCCCTCCCCAACGAGAAGGGTTCCTTCTTCAGGGCCCCGACTGTCATGGCGATCAATGGGCGATTGAGGGTCGATGCATCCCCACTGTGCCCATCCCCTCCTGTCGCTGCCCCTGACAAGCGTGGTGTGCCAGAACCAGCGGAGCGACATGCCATCCAGAAGCTCCCCACCGTATACACACACACACCTGGGCATCGCTCGGACGTCCATTCCCTGTGTGCGTGGTTTTTTCGCCAAATCATAAAGGATGCTCCTCGATGGTCCTCGCCGAAGGAAAAATGCACACGTCCGAGCGATGCCAAGCTGTCACACACACACCGGTCCCTGGCCCGGGATTGGCTGGACCAGGCTCAGCGCAGGCGCGTCGCTGGCGCCCTCCGACCTGTGGACGCCGCTCTGCACGCAGAGGTCCAGGACGCGGTCGGCGCTCGCGCGCCTGATCTTCTCCCTCTCCGTGAGCGCCGGGCGCTCCTGGGCCCACACCGCGCGGAGCTCGCGGATGTGGCCAGTCAGCCCACGGAGCTTCGTGAGCAGGACCTGGGGAGGGGGGAGGAGGGGGGGGGACGAGGAGGAGGAGAAGGAGGAGGAGGCGGCGGAGGCGGAGGAGGAAGAGGGAAGGAGGAAGAGGGAAGGAGGAGAGGAGGAGGAGGCGGAGGAGGCGGAGGAGGAAGAGGGAAGGAGGAGGAGGAGGAGGAGGAGGAGGAGGAGGAGGAGGAGGAGTAGGAGGATCATCGTCGTCGTCGTCACCGTTGTTGTCGTCGTCGTCGTCGTCGCCGTCGCCGTCGTCGCCGTCGTCGCCGTCGCCGTCGTCCGTCGCCTCGCCGTCGTCGTCGTCGTCGTCGTCGTCGTCCGTCGCCGTCGCCGTCGCCGTCGCCGTTCGCCGTCGCCGCGCCGTCGCCGTCGCCGTCGCCGTCGCCCGTCGCCGTCGCCGTCGCCGTCGCCGTCGCCGCATCGCTGTCGCCGTCGTCGTCGTCGTCGTCGTCGTCGTCGTCGTCGTCGTCGTCGTCGTCGTCGTCGTCGTCGTCGTCGCGAGGGCTCCTCAGACGGCGCGAGGGCTTCTCCGACGCCCTCCCGCCCCCTCTCCGTCGCCCCCCGGGCTCGCCGCTGGGAGGAGCGGAGTGGAGGCCCCGGCCGGCCAAAGGGGGACGAGGCCGCGCTGCCCGAAGGCGCTGGCACACCTGCACCGCTCCTCCTCCTCCTCCTCCTCCCCTCCTCCTCCTCCTCCTCCCGCCTCCTCCTCATCCTCCTCCACCTCCTCCTCCTCCTCCTCCTCCCCCCCTCGCTCCTCGCTCCTCGCTCCTCCTCCTCCTCCTCCTCCTCCTCCTCCTCCTCCTCCTCCTCCTCCTCCTCCTCCTCGAGGCCCACCGTGGGCCGGGGATCGGCACACACATGCACACAAAGCCCTCCTGGCCTGGCGGGATCCTGGGCACAGGACCCAGCGTCGGTGTGCGGCTGTGCCGTTGCCGCCCTCCGAACCTGGGCCTGGTCACGGGCCATCCTCGAGGGGAGATCCCCTCGTTTTGCCTCCTCCTCCTCCTCCTTCCTCCTCCTCCTCCTCCAGCTCCTCCTCCTCCTCCTCCTCCTCCTCCTCCTCCTCCTCCTCTTCCTCCTCCTCCTTCTCCTCCTCCTCCTCCTCCTGCGCCTCCTCCTCCTCCTCCTCCTCCTCCTCCTCGCTCCTCCTCCTCCCTCTTCCTCCTTTTCCTGCTCCTCCTGCTCCTGCTCATGCTCCTGCTCCTGCTCCTGCTCCTGCTCCTCCTCCTCCTCCTCCTCCTCCTCCTCCTCGTCCTCGTCCTCCTTCTCCTCCTCCTCCTCTTTCATTTTCCTTCTGAATTACTCCTCCCTGTCGCACCCAGAGGCACATTTTTCGGGCGGGCCGGGCGTTCCGCCTGAGACTTCCTCACCATTGATGACCCTGAAGTCAGGCCCTGAGGCTTAAACATTGGACACAGTTTCACAGGTGAAGGGCGGGTGGTTTTCAAAATATGGCTCTCGCAGAAGCGCCGTGCACATTCGCTGTAAACATTTGCGAGAGATTCGCGGATTGAGGGCGGGTGGTTTTCAACATGTGGCTCTCGCCTGAGCAACGCGCACACTCGTTTTCAAACAGTTGGAAGAATTTCACTGATTGAGCACCCGTGGTTTTCAAACTGTAGCTCTCGCCTTAGCGTCGCGTGCACTCGTTTAAAACATTTACCATAATTTCACGTATTGTAGGCGGGTGGTTTTCAAAGTGTGGCTCTCGACTCAGCGCCGCGCACATACGTTGTACAAGTGCGCAAGAGTTTCACGGATTGATAGCGGCTCCTTTTCAACATGTGGCTTGCGCCTTAGCGCCGCGCACATTCGTTTTGAGCTTTTCAAGCGTTTCACGGATTCAATGATCAACGTACCAGAAATGGCGTTTTGGAAAGATTCAGGATTGTGAGGGTGCAACAGTTACTTTGATTCGCGGTGTTCAAGTCCCAGGAACTGCGTTCTGGCACGATTCAGGATCGTGAAGACACAACTGTCAGATTGATCCGTGGCGTTGTAATCCCGGGAATAATGTTTTGGCATGTTTCAGGGTCTTCAATCGGTTGTGCTTCAACAAAGCAGTTCCCTCGGCGGTTGTAGGGACCTATGAAGTGGGAGCTTGGAGGGAGGGTTCATTCCAACATCGTTGATGACTCTTGGGTTTACACTGGTCCTCCTCCTCCTCCTCCTCCTCCTCCTCCTCCTCCTCCGAATAGAAGAGCTCGACCACAAGAACCCTTCCACAAGAAGCTCAACCCTGAGACCCCAGGACGTCCATTCTTTTCTGGTGCGGAAGCGTCGCGCGTCCCATCGCAGAACCATCAAAGCCCAAGAAACCCGGGGCACCCTGGAGGCAAGCAGGGCGCTTCTTGGCATGGGCCTCCGCTGTCACAGGCGAGAGACCTGGCGGGCTTCCTGCCCTCCGAGGGCCTTGTGCTTTGTGTCGCTGCGGCTCAGGTCCAGGATGCGCCAGCGGGACAGGTACTCCTCGTTGGAGGCGACCGGGGGGGTTGAACTGGCTGGGACTCCAGCAAATCGGCCAAGAATAGGAAGGGCGAGGCCGAATCCGCTCAAAACCAGTCGCGGGACCTCCCGGGGTCCATTTGATGCAGCTTTCACCTCGGATTCGTTTTTCATGGTCCCGAGGCCGAAACAAAAAATTAGCCTGACGAAGGACCCAACCATATGCAGCTGCGAGTGCAGCGAGGGAGATGAGACGGAGGGGGGCGCGCAAACTCCGAGTAGCGCACGCGGTATAACCTTCTGCCACGAAACGTGTGAAAGGTGTGCCGACATGAGTCGGGAGGACTCCTGCGAACGTCGGCATTGGGGCATTCCGTGGAGCTCCCTGTGGGGCCACGAAACGTGTGAGGGGTGTGCCGAAATGGGGCGGCGGTGCCATGCGGACCCTCCCGCTGGGGCCTTCGGTGTAGCTCCCTCTGGGGCCACGAAACGTGTGAGTGGTCTGCCGAAATGGGGGCGGCGGTGCGATGCCGACCCTCCTCCCGATGGGGCCTTCGGTGGAGCTCCCTATGGGGCCACGAACCGTGTGAGGGGTGTGCCAAAATTGGACGGTGGTGCCATGCGGACCCTTCCAAGGAATCCTTCGGTGTAGCTCCCTCTGGGGCCACGAAACGTGTGAGGGGTCTGCCGACATGGGGCAGCGATGCCATGCGGACCCTCCCGCTGGGGCCTTCGGTGTAGCTCCCTCTGGGGCCACGAAACGTGTGAGGGGTGTGCCGACATGGGGCGGCGGTGCCATGCGGACCCTCCCGCTGGGGCCTTCGGTGGAGCTCCCTCTGGGGCCGCAAAACGTGTGAGGGGTCTGCCGAAATGGGGGCGGCGGTGCGATGCCGACCCTCCTCCTGCTGGGGCCTTCGGTGGAGCTCCCTGTGGGGCCACGAAACGTGTGAGGGGTGTGCCGACATGGGGCGGCGGTGCCATGCGGACCCTCCCGCTGGGGCCTTCGGTGGAGCTCCCTCTGGGGCCACAAAACGTGTGAGGGGTGTGCCGAAATGGGTGCGGTGGTGCCATGCCGACCCTCCTGCTGGGGCATTCGGTGGAGCTCCCTATTTGGCCACGAAACATGTGAAGGGTGTGCCGAAATGCGGCGGCGGTGCCATGCGGACCCTCTCGCTGGGGCCTTCGGTGGAGCTCCCTATGGGGCCGCGAAACGTGTGAGGGGTGTGCCGAAATGGGTGCGGTGGTGTCGATGCTGGTGACGATGACGGTGATGATGCTGCTGCTGCTGATGATGGTGATGATGGTGATGATGATTAGGATGAGGATGGAGGATGGAGGGGGAGGAGGAGGAAGAGGAGAGGAGAGGAGAGGAACGCGGGACGCTGTCTCTTGAAAACGAGGGCCCAACACCACAGGATGGTTGGGAAAAACTTCCCGAACCCAGGACCTCTAACCTGCCCCTCTTCCCTGCTGGCGGGAACCAGTGCCGCACCACCTCAGGACCCCCAGGCCGCTGCAGACTCCTCGTACCTCTGCCGGCGGGACAGCAGGCCCTTCTCCTTCACCTCGAGCGCCGCCGCCAGCTCCCTGGGCCAGCGCTCGCAGGCTGCCTTCTTGCCGTCGCTCGGACGTCCACTCCCTGTTTTTTGTTCAGTTTCGCGCGTGGTATTTTGCGCCCAATGATCCAGGATGCTCCTCGATGGTCCTCGCCGAGGGAAAAGTGCACACGTCCGAGCGATGCCAGGCCTTCTGGATCAGCGCGGCCGCGAAGATCAGCAGCGTCCACAGCCTGGAAGAGAAGAGAAGAAGAACCAGCGGCAGGGCATGTTCCGCTCTGCTTGGCACGCTGGTCCCCAGGGGATGGGTCGAGACGTTCAGGGTCCACGTGTGGAACAAATCAAGACATCGCAGGCCTGGGTGTGCACATACACCCAGGTCGGGCATGTCCCCCTGCAGGCGGAATGCTGGGTGACAACGTTAAAACATACTCTAAAAAAAATGCCCCCGACTGGGCAAAACATACCAGACAAGTCGTCCCCCGACCATTCTTCTAGCATTTTCGACTACCCCTCCTGCAGAGGCACAGGCCCGACCTGAGCACACACCGAGCCTGCCCAGGCCCACCCGGAGCGCGCCCCAGGGGTCTGGCCAGGGAGGCGCGCGCTCCGGCCCTGGGGGCCCGGGGGCCTGGACAGGATCGGTGCTGGAGGCTGCTGGGGTTAAGTCGGGCGTGTGCCCCTGCAGGGGGATTTTCGACGAAGAATTAAAAAAAACCCAAAAATATTCAAAACATAGTCGAAAAATAGTCTGGGGACTATTTTTTGTTTTATCTTTTCGGTGTATTTTGGGGGTATTTTTCATTTTTCGTCGAAAATCCCCCTGTAGGGGGACACGCTCGACATAAGGTTAAGTCGGGCGTGTCCCCCTGCAGGGGGATTTTCGACGAAGCATAAAACATCCTAAACAAAAAAAACCAGATGGTCAAAGACTGCTCAAGAGATAGTCCCCGCACTGTTTTTTGATCTTCCTCCTGTAGAAAGACGGGCCCGACTTCAGACTGGAGCGTCTGCGCAGAAAATCGGTCAGAAACTAACCAGCGTTTCGGGCCGCGCCCAGCCCTGTGGTGACGAGGGGAGCCCTCTCTCCGCGCCCCCCTCTGCTAGCTGGCACCGCTGGGCCACCTCGGCCCCCCCAGGTCAGTTCCAAGCGACACCGCTACTCCACAACCTTCCTCCTCCTCCTCCTCCTCCTTCTCCTGCTCCTCCTCCTCCTCCTCCTCCTCCTGCTCCTCCTCCTGCTCCTCCTCCTGCTCCTCCTCCTCCTGCTCCTCCTCCTCCTCCTCCACACATACTCAATATGAATACTACTCTCCCTCTTCCCCCGAAGGCGGCCTGAAAGTAGCCGACCCCCCCCGCGTACTGTTTTTTTACACACAAGATTCCCGGGAGTTGGGTTTTCGCCTGCGTTTTTTTCAAAATGCTGCTCTCGCTGAGGCGCCGGCCTCATTTCTGCTCCCGAATCGTTCCGAATCGTGCTCCCGCTGCAGCGTGGGCCTCATTTTCGGATCGGTGTTTGGCCTCCGTCGTTCAGGATGGCGTTCTCGCCCAAGCGCGGGCCTTCTTCTCGCGCGCCCATCCGCCCGCCACCACCGCGCCGACCACGCCCCGCCCGCCGCACGCCACAACAACCGCCACTTCTAAAAACAACCAACGCACGCAGCACGCACGAGCATCACCACCGCGCACAGCGAACCACCACCGCACTACCCCACCCACACCCACACGCACACCGCGGTCAAACCACACATCACACGCGCGCCACACAGACACACAAGCCGCACGCACACCACACCACACATTAACACGCACACACACACACACACCGCACACACACACTCACACACACACACCACCACAACCGCCACCACCACCACCACCGCCATCACGAACGTACGCACCTGGCCCACCACCAAACCACCACCACGCCACACCACTTCACACCACAGCACACGCGCACACACGCACACACACACATACACACCACCACCACAACAACCACAACCACGCACACACGCACGCACGCACGCGCACCACCACCCACTACGCACACGCGCGCGGAGTCACAGGTCCGCTACGACACGCGTCCGCGGATAGAGAAAATCAGCGCCATGGTAAGGGATGGGAGGGAGGGGTATGATGTCAGATGTTGACGCGAGCGCACCTAACTTGTCCCCCTCCCCCTCCCCCCTTCCCCT